CTAGAAGCTTTCTTGGGGCCCATGGTCACTTATTTTCCAGAAAAAAATCACCAAAAACACTGTAATAATACAAAATGTTCCGATTGTATGCTTGGATGTTACCGCGGAGGCTGGCTGGTAAACAATGCCACCCGCGGAACATGTGAGCGTGGCTCAGGCCACACATTGGACGCGTCTCGGACGAAGGCCGCTGAGCGGGTTTTTGTCCACTATGCGGGGCAAAATTTTAGCGAACAAAGCGTCCGCTATGCGGATTGTCCGCTATGCAAGGCGTCCGTTATGCGGGGGTCCACTGTATATTGAAGTCATTCCTCCAGAACTTTCTTAGGGTTAATTCAGTGTCTGAGGTCACTTCAAAGCAACTTTGAAACATTGCTTTGGTGTAGAGTTTTTTGAAGTTTGAAATGACCTGCTGGTCCGTGGGCTGGATGAGAGGAGTGGTATTAGGGGGGGCAAGAACTTCACTGTGATGAAACTAAACTCTTCTAGCAATTGGTCTTCCAAGTCTGGAGGATGAGCAGGAGCATCCTCCATTACCATGGGGCACTTGTGTGGCAGTTTATTTTCCAGGAGGTATTTCTTCACACTGGCCAAATACTTCATTGACCTACTCAATGAAAATTTGCCTCGTGACCCATGCTTTATTGTTAGCTTTCCACATCACACACAATTTACTCTTGATGACATTGTTTTTCTTGAACACTTGGGGATTTTCAGAGTGATACACCAGTAAAGGCTTCACTTTGAAATCCCCCCTAGTGTTACCACAGAACAAAAGTTAGCCTATCCTTCATAGGCTTGTGTCCTAGCAGTGCCTTTTCCTCCTGTGTGATGTAAGTCCTCTTTGGCATTTTCTTCCAAAAGAGACCTGTTTTGTCACAAATGAAGACTTGTTGGGGGGGTATCCTTCAGCCTCTATGTTCTATTTGAATTCATCAGCAAATTCTTCGGTTGCATGTTTGTCCAAACTTGCAGCCTCACCAGGCCTTATATTCACTAACAGCAGCACTCGTTCCAGGCATTTTCTTTACGACATCCGCATGCAGCTGCCTTGCCTTTTTGCAAATTATCGACTCCAAAACACTGTCTCCCACTAGCTGTTTTTCATTGATCCACACCAACAACAACTCTGTTTCGTTATCACGTTTACCCCTTTAGCAACATCAGCTTCCTTGATTTTTTTTTTCTTCGCCAGGATGAAACTGATTGTTGATGCGGATATCCCATACATCCTGGCGAGATCGGCCACCCGTATGCCACTTTCGTACTTACCTACGACTTCTTTATTAAATTCTATTGTGTTTCTCGCCTTTATCAAAGGGCTGGCACTCTGAACTTTCTTTGGCCCCATGGTGGCTTATTAAGCAGACACACTCAATAAACGAGCACAAAAAACATTGGATTATTACAAAATGTTTTGGCTGAACACACGGGGTGATGCTCACTCGAGGATAAACAAAGGCAGACTGAGTCGCTCAGCGCTCGAGTGGTAGTGTGACGTGGGCGGGCAGGTGGACGCTTTTGGTATGGACCATTGTCAACTCTATGAAAACTGAGGCGATGTATGAAAACTGGGACAAAATTTTGACAGAAAAAGTCGTAGAAAGCCATATCCTGTGAAAATTGGAGCGAACGAAAACCGAGGTTCCACTGTATATTTTATTTTTGAGCTTTTAAATGGCATGTTATAATACTCTTTGTTTTTATGTGCTTGAGTTTTATTTTCTGAATTTTCTTTAATTTGTTTCTATACATTATTTTTAATTTCAGTACACATTGAGTTTGTAGAGTTTTTTATAATTTAAGAGAAATCATTTTCCATACTAGATTTAAAAAGACCATGAATTTAAAAAACGACAGTAGTGACTTAGAATTGCAGGATACAACTTGTTTAATCTGAAAATAAAAAAAGAATTCAATATCTTGTAATTAGAAAAGCTCATATTGCAAGATTATAACTCGCTTGTTCAGTACTACTCAATATAAATTTAGGTTTTCACTTCATTCAGAAACGCACCCATTTTCATTAAGGTGCGCTGGAGTGGTGCACATTTCTGTTTAGGAGCACCATGGCAAGCAGGCCTGAGACCTCCCAATACTATACGTTAGGCAACTCGATAGTCTTAGGACTCCAGGGGAGGGTGATGAGATGTAAACAAACCAGCCTCCCACGTGGGTCAGTGTACCTGGATAGTTACTTTACAATTTTAGCTCTATGCATATCATCTCATCTCTGAATATTTATCATGGCTTCAGAATGAAGTGCAAGTGATGCTTATGAAGCAAGGAACAAGGTTAAGTGTGAAACAAAAAATACAGAGATATTGAAGGGTGGTGCATGCATCACGAAGTCGACATGAATGTTTGATTTTAGAATATCAAAGATTCAGTCAACTTGAGACAATGAAGCGAAGATAAAGGCTTGTGCAAAATAATCCTTAGTATGGCAGTAAAAAAAAAAAGTCATTTACAATTATTTAATTATAACAAGGTATACTGATACATTATTTTATTTGGGAACATACAGTTCACTTTATAAAAATGTTCATGAGTTTCACAGGGTAACTTGTTCCTAGAGTAAAGGATACCTGTAGTAGTCATGTTCAGTACATATAGATAAGGGAATAGAGTACACTGTTTAATTCATATTAAGCACGAAACCCATTTGGGTCATTCAGCGCACGATATGGTGGAGACTTGATCCTCTGTCTCCTGAGTGCCAGACACACGTTTCCTATTTGTACTAAACAGATACCCTGCACATAGGAGAGAAGCTTATGATGACATTTCAGTCCAACTTGTACCATTTACAGGTTTATTTCTCTTAAAAATCTACTTTGCCATTAGTATGGGTACAGCAGTGTGACTAACTTGACTTCCTAGTTACTGATGTGCTTCAACAAATTCATTTTGCTCACTAAAGTGATCTGTTGACAGTTGCCATGGAGTAAGGTAGTAACTGTAGCATTACCTTCAGTCATTGTGATGTCTAAAGCATTTTTTTTTTTTATGGAATTCTGTATATTGTACATAGTGAATTACTGTAAGAAGTTTATTATCGCATTTAAGTTTTTTTTTTTAATGCCTAACCTGTACTTTTTGTTCAAGCAATATCTGTATTCATGGTGTTTTGTAGTTAATGCAACTATACTTTTCCATTTTCTGTAAGTAATTACAGTATTTTGACAAAATTATAAATACATGAGGTAGTAGTTAGGCATTCTCTGCCACCATTCTTCACAGATGTTTGGTAGGAGAGGACAAGATGCCGTGGCTCTGGTATTTAAAAATGAATTCTACATACTTCGGTTATCCCCCATATTATGGGATATCCGGGCAGGCATATGTGGGGTTTCTTGAATGCCAAGTTTGTGTATCTCTGTTACCTCATTGCTGTCTAAAACAGAATGTGATTGTCTTGTGTTGAAATTTTGTAATAAACAAGGATGTATGTTGAATGACTCGCGAAATCGCAATGACACGATTGCAACCAAACCATACCATGGGTGCGGATAGAACCTGCGATCAGAGAGTCATAAAATTCCAGATCAACGCGCTAGCCACTGGGCCACCTGGCTACAAGATTTGTCCGACTAGGTATACGTATTTATACACCATAGGAAACTTGCATTTGTGGTCACAGTGGTGCCTATGCTAACCTTCCTATGGTGTATAAATATACCTAGTTGGACGAATCTTATTGCAGCCAGCTGGCCCAGTGTCTAGCGCTTCGGTCTGGAATTTTATGACCCTGATCATGGGTTTTATCCCCGCCCGTGGTATGGTTTTTTCTATGTACATATGTTGAATCATTGTCTTATTTTCTCAGACTTGTTCATTTTCTTTTGTCAAAGACAAATATTGCTCAAATTTTCATAAATAATTTCTTATTTAGTATAAAATTGTTGGAATACCTTAGTGAGATCTATCACTGTTCATGGTTTGTTCTGATTAATTCTTATGCTGTTACTTGTGGAGAAACTTTACCATACCTGGTCATGGTATACTCGTGACTTTTTTCTTGTAACAGTACGGTAATATGTTTCAGACCAATGGCAGCTATTACAGACCACTCAGGCCATTAATATTTAATTCCACATAACATGAATCTGAAATATGTTTTGTGACTACGTTGATTGCATACGGCAAATGTACATGTTACATAAGGAATTACTGTTTTGATAAAATTGAAACTTTGCATAATGATGAATTCATATAGAGCAAACCTGCATGAAGTTATTACGTGATGTTTTGTTTCTGTTGGTTATTCTTTGTGTGCGATGGACATTCGCTGTATTCGATTGGCGTGGTCTGCAAATCATATTGTAAGATGCTTATTATATAGAACTGTGTGGTTATGACTTTACTGAGTTTAGCTTAGCTGCCAAGGGTGTGGAATGCATTTTCTGTATAAAATGGCTGATATCTTTCAAAAGATTTGAAAGATGTCTTAAGACTTAGGCTCATATGGAAGTAACTGGTGTCAAACTATGCAGATAGTTTAATAAAATCATAATACTGTACTTAATTGTAGGTTGCTCTGCTCTTAAATGATGTCCTTGCAAGGAGGCTTCTTGATGCTGGTGAGGTTCTTTTGTTTTCAAAGAAATGGACCTGACCTCCCTGTCTGCGAATTGAACCTGATTACCTCCCCTTCCCCATGTGCTGTGTAACATCTACGGGTTTGGTGCTTCCCACTGATTTAAATAGAGTAAAATAATAATGCTCTTAAATGGCAAAGGGAAGTCTGTAATTTAAAGGAAGAAAAAATTATAAATGAATTTAATACCACACCTAATCAAGGTTATGCCAGTTTATGCTGCTGCTGTTTGAAAATGGCAAATTTTTAAGCAGTATAACCTGTGCAATTTTATACATATATTGTATATTTTCGTCTCTTGTATAACAGTACTGTATAGTAGTACTACATAATGAGTGTTTCATCATGCTTGAAGAATCCGTAAAATACTCATAAATTCTTTTATCTTTACACAACCCAGAGGAATGTACAGTGCCATTTGTCTTGGCATATGATGACCTTCTCTCGGGACCATTTAAAACTTTCTTCGACTGTAGTATGAAGATTGGTGGAGATGTTGCTGCCATTGCCAAGATGGTACAGTCTACGTTCATCAACCAGCGAGCCTTCCTGGTCATGGCATCAAAGAGCCAGCGACCATTGGACACTGAATTACCTCAGGTAAAGAAATACAGGGCACAATTTTTTTTTTTTAACAAGTCGGCTGTCTCTCACCGAGGCAGGGTGACCCAAAAAAAGAAAAAAAATCCCCAGAAAGAAAATACTTTCATCATTCAACACTTTCACCTCACTCACACATAATCACTGTTTTTGCAGAGGTGATCAGAATACAACAGTTTAGAAGGATATAAGTATAAAGATGCACAACATATCCTTCCAAACTGCCAATATCCCAAACCACTCCTTTAAAGTGCAGGCATTGTACTTCCCATTTCCAGGACTCAAGTCCGGCTATATAAAAATAACGTTATTTATATACTGTAAGTACAATGTTTCTGTAATATCTAATGATATCAGCCAGAAAAAAGATTTTATTACTGCTCAAAATGTTTTTGAAGTACAGCATTACAGTATACAGTACTGTATTGCTGTTTTAACAAATGCAGAAAAGCATTCATTCTGATACTAAATTGTATGAATTATCTCTGCTCTTTTCATGGAGTTGATGATGAACTTTGCTATCTACAATAAGAATAAATATAGTAAATAGAATGAATCCTGTGATACTATTATTGGTTTCTTCCTGAGGGATCGCATTCCATCTAAATTAGTCATGTGCTCCATAAAATAGCTGTCAACAGTACTTGCATATATATTTGTTTTGCAGGTGCTAGAGCCTACAGGTAAGAAGATCCAAGAAGTGATAGCATTCCGTGAATCCAAACGCCAGTCTCCATTCTTCAACCACTTATCTGCTATCTCAGAATCTATTCCTGGTCTCTCCTGGGTAGCAGTTGCCCCTGCCCCAGCACCTTTTGTGAAGGAGATGGGGGATTCTGCTGTGTTCTATACCAACAGAGTTCTGAAGGAATATAGGTGAGTTAGTTCACTGGTGCAGTTTATTGTTAGTCATCATTCTTATTGTGAATTTTACGCACATTACTGGTATTATGTTAAAAGATACATTTTACTGTTAGTAAGTTGTACATCAATATACTGTAATTTGCTGTTGATTTGGAGCATTTTGTAACTTGAAACTACATTCTCTTAAATTATAATACTAAGTAGTAGTAAATGAATTTTTTGCACTGTTTCACTGTTGGTTTTGTTCTCCAGCAGCATATATATTACACATGGGAATACGTACAAAAGGCAATTCAGAGGATACCCTCCATGGTCCATGTCAAAACCAATCTGTGGGCTCTTGTTACCTTTACTTAACCTCGGTACAGCACTGTTAGTGACTACTATGTTGTTTTACCCATTCCCAGGCTGTTTCTCTTGCCTGTGCTTTCAAAATTCAGTAGAAAAATATAATCTTTACCAGTATTGAGGGGATCAGTGCACTCTTTTTAAAGCCTTAATTATCCATTACAGCTATTCTTTTAGATCTTCTAATTCATAGTTTTATTTCCTACTAAGGGAGAAAGACAAGATTCATGTTGAATGGGTTCAGAACTGGAATAATGTCTTCAAGGAGCTACAAGAATATGTCAAGAGATATCACACAACTGGACTGTCTTGGAATACTCGAGGGGGGAACGCAATGGCCAACCTCAAGGCTGCACCAGCCAACTGTGGTGTTCCTCCTCCACCACCAGGTATATATAATGGAGAAATTGTGTAATACTATAATTAACAATTTAACTTAGGAATCTGTTCTCCCCCTCAATTCTTATAAATTTTAGATCAGTTGCTTTAACTCTAATCACGTTAATCAGTCACTTTCGAAAACTACCTACTGTAGACTGACTAGAAATTATGAATAAAATCAGAGACAAGTTTTCACTTTCAGAAGTAATTATCTCCAGAGACATTAGACTTTATTGTTTCAGACATATTAAATTGTGCATTCTGTATTTGACAAGGATAAATAAATTATTGAGCTATGTGTAGAAAGAGGTTTGGTAATAAGTAATACATATTTTATGAAAAAGAGGATAAATAAGTATACAAGGTATGATATAGCACATAATGAAAGTAGTTTGTTAGATAATGTATTGGTGGATAAAAGGTTGATGGGTAGGCTTCAGGATGTACATGTTTATAGAGGGGCAGCTGATATTTCTGATCATTATTTAGTTGTAGCTACAGTTAGAGGTAGATGGGACAAAAGGAAAATGACAACAGCAAGTAAGAGAGAGGGGAAAGTGTATAAACTAAGGGAGGAGGAAGTTAGGGTGAAATATAAGCAACTATTTGCAGAAAGGCAGGCTAGTGCAAGTATGAGTAGTGGGGGGGTTGAAGAGGGTTGGAATAGTTTTAAAAATGTAGTATTAGTATGTGGGGCAGAAGTTTGTGGCTATAGGAGGGTGGGTGCAGGAGGAAAGAGGAGTGATTGGTGGAATGATGTAGTAAAGGGTGTGATAAAAGAGAAAAAAGGTAGCTTATGAGAGGATTTTACAAAGCAGAAGTGTTATAAGAAGAGCAGAGTATATGAAGTGTAAAAGAAAGGTGAAGGGAGTGGTGAGGGAGTGCAAAAGGAGAGCAAATGATAGTGGGAGAGGCATTGTCAAGAAATTTTAATGAAAATAAGAAAAAATTTTGGAGTGAGATAAACAAGTTAAGAAAGCCTAGGGAACAAATGAATTTCAGTTAAAAACAGAGCAGGGGAGTTAGTAGATGGGGAGCTGGAGGTATTGGGTAGATGGCAGGAATGTTTTGAGGAACTTTTAAATGTCGATGAAAAAGGGAGACTGTAATTTCGTGCACTGGCCAGGGAGGTATAACATCTTTTAGGAGTGAAGAAGAGCAGGATGTGAGTATGGGGGGAGGTGCGTGAGGCATTACGTAGAATGAAAGGGGGTAAAGCAGCTGGAACTGATGGGATCATGAGAGAAATGTTAAATGCAGGGGGGTATATAGTATTGGAGTGGTTGGTATTTTTGTTTAATAAATGTATGAAAGAGGGAAAGGTACCTAGGGATTGGAAGAGAGCATGTATAGTTCCTTTATATAAAGGGAATGGGGACAAAAGAGATAGTAAACTTATTCCCTTATAATTTTTACAAAGTATACCAGGAAAAGTGTATGGTAGGGTTATTATTGAGAGAATTAGAGGTAAGACAGAGAGTAGGATTGCAGATGAGCAAGGAGGCTTTATTGTGGTTAGGAGATTTGGAGATCAAGTGTTTACATTAAAGGATATATGTGAACAGTATTTAGATAAGGTTAGGGAAGTTTTCACTGCATTTATGGATTTAGAAAAGGCATATAATAGTGGAAAGGGGGGCAATGTGGCAGATGTTGCAAGTATATGGAATAGGTAGTAAGTTGCTAAATGCTGTAAAGAGTTTTTATGAGGGTAGTGAGGCTCAAGTTAGGGTGTGTAGGAGACAGGAAGATTACTTCCTGGTAAAAGTAGGTCTTACAGGGATGTGTAATGTCACCATGGTTGTTTAATATATTTATAGACAGGGTTGTGAAGGAGGTAAATTCTAGGGTGTTGGGGAGAGGGGTGGAATTAAATTATGGGGAATAAAGTACAAAATGGGAGTTGACACAGTTACTTTTTGCTGATGATACTGTGCTTATGGGAGATTCTAAAGAAAAGTTGCAAAGGTTAGTGGACGAGTTTAGGAGGGTGTGTAAAGGTAGAAAGTTGAAAGTGAACATAGATAAGAGTAAGGTGATGAGGGTATCCAACAATTTAGATAAAGAAAAATTGGATATCACATTGAAGAGAGGGAGTATGGAAGAAGTGAATGTTTTCAGATATTTGGGAGGTGACATGTCAGCAGGTAGGTTTATGAAGGATGAGGTTAACCATAGAATTGATGAAGGAAAAAAGGTGAGTGGTGCATTGAGGTATATGTGCAGACAAAAAACATTATCTATGGAGGCAAAGAAGGGAATGTATAAAAGTATAGTTGTATCAACACTCTTATATGGGTGTGAAGCTTGGGTTGTAAATGCTGCAGCAAGAAGGCAGTTGGAGGCAGTGGAGATGTCCTGTCTAAGGGCAATGTGTGGTGTAAATATGCGGAGGATTCGGAGTGTGGAAATTAGGAGAAGGTGTGGAGTTAATAAAAGTATTAGTCAGAGGGCTGAAGAGGGGTTGTTGAGGTGGTTTGGTCATTCAGAGAGAATGGATCAAAGTAGAATGACATGGAGAGTGTATAAATCTGTATGGGAAGGAAAGTGGGGTAGGGGTTGTCCTCAAAAATGTTGGAGGGAGGGGGTAAAGGAGGTTTTGTGGGCGAGGGACTTGGACTTCCAGCAAGCGTACGTGAGCGTGTAAGATAGGAGTGAATGGAGACGAATGGAACCTGTCGAGCTGTTTGGAGTGTGAGCAGGGTAATATTTAGGTAAGGGATTCAGGAAACTGGTTATTTTTATACAGTCGGACTTGAGTACTGGAAATGGGAAGTACAATGACTGCATTCTAAAGGAGGGGTTTGGGATATTGACAGTTTGGAGAGGTATGTTATATATCTTTATATATGTTTCTAAATGTAGGTAGTAGGTTGGTAGACAGCAACCACCCAGGGAGGTAGTACCGTCCTGCCAAGTGAGTGTAAAACGAAATCCTGTATTTGTTTTACATGATGGTAGGATTGCTGGTGTCTTTTTTTCTGTCTCATAAACATGCAAGATTTCAGGTACGTCTTGCTACTACTTGCACTTTGGTCACACTACACATACATGTACAAGCATATATATACACACCCTTCTGGGTTTTCTTCTATTTTCTTTCTAGTTCTTGTTCTTGTTTATTTCCTCTTATCTCCATGGGGAAGTGGAACAGAATTCTTCCTCTGTAAGCCATACATGTTGTAAGAGGCGACTAAAATGCCGGGAGCAAGGGGGCTAGTAACCTCTTCTCCTGTATAAACTACTAAATTTAAGAAGAGAAACTTTTGTTTTTCTCTTTGGGCCACCCTGCCTCAGTGGGAAATGGCCGATTTGTTGAAGGAAAAGAAAATATGCTTCTAAACTGTTGTATTTGGTTGCCTCTGCAAAGACAGTGATTATGTGTGAGTGAGATGAAAGTGTTGAATGATGATGAAAGTATTTTCTTTTTGGGGATTTTCTTTCTTTTTGGGTCACCCTGCCTCGTGGGAGACGTCTGACTTGTTGAAAAAAAAAAATTATATTTTAATGACTTTCCTGCATGTGCGTCATGTTCTTTTGGGGATATATGTGTACAATGCAATTATGTTTTAGGAGTGAAATGTGATTTGCAGTTTCCTCTCAAAATGGGGATTATTTGTGAATTATTCCAGCCACAGTATTGTGACTTAATCTTCATATATGTACTTAGTTTTCTTTGTACAGTCACACTCGGGAATTACAGATCAAGCCTTTACTCACAAATAGCTAAATTAACCCTAGAGACATTTATTTCTAGAAATAGTCTTCATTACTCTGATATGCTGTATCTTGTGAGGACAAATAATAAAATAAAATAATTTTAACCAGAAATTACTGTTGATATTGAAGAACATATAACATTCATTGGCATGGATGTCTGCATGGAGGGCTTATCACAATTGTTTCATTACCCACATTCATGAATACAGTGGAACCTCGGTTTTCGTATGCCCTAGTTGGAGGAAATTCTCTATAAAATGTCTTTTTTGTTAATATTTGTGGGTGTCTGGAACAGATTAATTGGTTCCGTTCCAGACACCCAAAAATATTAACAAAAAATACATTTTATAGAGAATTTTCTCCAACTAGGACATACGAAAACAGAGGTTCCAGTGTACCTCGTTAAGTTTACTAAATTTTTGGTTAATCATAGTACATAGTGGATAATAAAGACTTGATTGTAGTACAGGACAAAGTTTATTGTTCTAATTTTTGCATGACTATGATCTATAACTAGAAACTAGTTATTTCTAGAATAATATATAAAAATTGTTACAGCTAAATAGTGTGCATTCTAGCATTTAGGGTTGTACAGTGATACGTTGTACTCAGTTATCCCTTGATGCTGGTGAAGGGCTCTTTATCCAATGATTTGGATTACCCTTCCTCTCCTTAGATCAGATTCAGTTGCCTCCCATTTCCTGGTCACTGTATGACCCCTGTGGATCAGTATACTAAATTATATTGTTTGAAGTCAGTTTTAGCAGGACCTTTTAGGTCTTTCCAAAAAGCCTTGGAGGATTGTCTCCATGAGTAGTATAGCACACAATTGGTTAAAACCATCTGAAAAGGAAAAAAAAATATAAAAAATCTGTATGATGTGAATGAAATGTCTATTACTAGTAAATGTATTTGCATCTTGTTCACCATCTTTCCCATGCATTCACTTTTTTTTCCTCGCTCTCTGACCCCATGATTGTCTCTCTGCCACCACAGCAGGTACACCTGTGAAAGCTACACTTACACTAAATGTTTAATAAAATTCTGGATACGGCTCTGAAGAAAAAACTTCTGTGTGTGTCCTGCTTTTGAAATAGAGCTAGACCCTTGGTCTTGCTATAAAACAAAAAACTAAGAAAATTGAATTGATTAAGGCATCAAGTTGGTAAACAAAGAATTGCTTGATACAAGTACTGTAGTTCTTTCAACATAACAGTATTCTTAAATGCCTCTTTTTAATAATTCTTGGATTTATAATGGTTTAAAGTAGTTTAGTTTCTGTAAGAGGGCTTGATTATTATATTCAGTATATACTGTACATTAATGTATCTAACATCTACTATATCTACATCCTTCCTAATGTATGTCATGCTTTTTTTTAGTTATAACTTACCAACTTGGCATATTTAGCAAAGGTCAATTTGCTGAAGAAAAACAAGCTTGTATTGATTTTTCTCTCAACTTTAATGCAGGTAGTCTAAACATCACAAAATTAATGCTGGACTTGAGTCCTGGAGGTGGAAAGTACAGTGCCTGCACTCAGAAAGACGGGTGGGGGGTATTTGCAATTTGGAAGGGCAGCTAAACTGTAATATCAGCATGCCTCTGGCAAGACAGTGATAGCATGAATGATGGTTAAAGTGTTTCTTCTTTTTTGGGTCACCCTACCTCAGTGGGAAACTGCCAGTGTGCTAAAAAATTATAACTAATACTAACTAAAGGTAGGCTGACCTGAGATAGGATAGGTGGGATTAAGCTACACTCTATAGATAGTATATAAATATTATCAGCTTTAGATGACATTGGTGAATTATTTTTTGAGAGAACTATTATATACCAATAAAGTGCTAAGAGTATATCTATTAGTCTATTAGATAACATTTATAAAAGAACTTATTTCTAAGACAATTTGGCTTGTTTGACTGCTTGGTTAAAAATGCAAGACAAGTACCATACATATATAGTACTTCTGTATTTCCGAAAGTGCACAGATATAATGATCCAATACCCACTGAACCTCAGCATCCGTAAATGACTTTTATCCTTTGAAGCATACATAAATGCAGTTGGATTCAAGGAAACTACTCATTGTGAATGAACTAGGTAGGAAAGAAGAATGGTGGATTAGCAGTAGTGCTATATATTTGTAAAAGAAATGCTATAAGCAACAGAGACTTAAAAACAGATATAAAATATCTATTGGTAGAAATCCATATGTAAGACTTCTCATAAACATGCCATTTGAACACTTGGTTGGTTCAGTGGTGATGCACTCTTCTTGTGGCTGTGTGGAGCATTTTTAAAATTCATTCTTCCTCTCCTTCACAAACTGTAGTTTGTCAAAATTGTTTTCAAATTGGAAATTGAAAAATTAATTTTTACAATTTGGCTGAACTGAGGTAGTATCATGAAGCAGTTAATCAATTTTGTGGGACTTTTTGGAAAGATTGACCAAACTAACAACCCCTTGAACATTCAGAAAGTTTGACTGAAGTTTAACCCGTAAACGGTCCAAGCAGATCTACGTTCACGTGTAGTGCTACAAAAGTAGATCTACGTTTTTTTTTACATATTTTCAAATATAACAAAAAAAAAGTAGATCAAAGTTTTTTACACATTTTCAAATGTAAAAAAACAAAAAGATCTACTTTTTTACATTCAAATGTTGAAAAAACGTATATACAGTGGACCCCCGACTAACGATATTATTTCAATCCAGAAGTCTGTTCGGGTGCCGTTATAAACCGAATTTGTTCCCATAAGGAATATTGTGAATTAGATTAGTCCGTTTCAGACCTCCAAAAATACACCTATAAAAGAACTTACAAAAATACACTTACATAATTGGTCGAGTTGGGAGCTGATCGTTAGTCGGGGGTCCACTGTACAATGGAACCTCAAAAATCGAACTGCTCCCAACACGACCAATTATGTAAGTGTATTTTTGTAAGTGCTTTTATAAGTGTATTTTTGAGGGTCTGAAATGGACTAATCTAATTTACATTATTCCTGATGGGAATAAATTCATTCGGTAAAGGCACTCGAACAGCCTTCTGGACCGAAGAAAGTTCGATATTTGAGATTCCACTGTATACGTTTGGACCGTTTACGGGTTAAGTATTGTTTTGGTAGCATTTCTGACTGAGACAGTCCAGTACATCACGTGGGCTATGTGAATGTGCTGAACAGGATTGGGAAGGTTCCATTTATTTGTCAAAGCTTCATTTTGCAAGGATTAAAAACCTTTCCCTGTTCCAATTTCTCTATGAAGAATGATGTTTTATAATTTTCCTTGTGTCTGGCTTAGTCTCTTCATAGATATAAGCAAGATATTAAATATGAAAGGGTTCAAGGAAGGGGGAGAGTTTGCTATACTAGAATTCTGGAGGTGAAAAGTACAGTGCCTGAACTGAATAATGGGGCACGGTAGGAAGTATAGTACCTGTTTTATGAAAGATGTAGAAAGCTAGGCACTCTGAAGAATGGATGGGGATGTTGATACAATGGGTCATTTGAATTGTGATGTCCTTGCTCTTCTGGAAAGACAGCTAGAGAATGATTGATATTGAATGTGTTTCCTTCTTTGAGTCACCCTTCCTTGGTGAGAAATGGCAGTGTTTAAAAATGCTGGGAAGTATGTATTTCAATAAGCTTCCTACCAAGACATTCCAGCATCTTGCCTGTTAAACCACATTTAAACATTTTGCATCAATGCATACAGAAAAGTTATAAAAGTACACCACTGTGCTCTGTCCTCCTCATCCCTTCTGCCACACAATACTGGAGAAAATGCCCTCTTGTTTGCAGAGAGCATTTTCTCCAGTATATTTGTTTCTCTTTTCACATTCTGGTGCACTAAACTGATTTTAATGTCAAGTCATAACTTTAAAGCAATGTTTATTTTGTGTTATTTAAAATGAACTATATTCTAATAGTTTTTAGCTTTGTACATATAATTATTATTATTGAGCATTTCTTTACCAAAACTTATTATATTTTATAAGTATAGCATCCCTGTTTGGCAACCTATAGTTTTAGCAAACATTTTTAAATTTATGCGGTTGATTATAGTCTTGCATTGTTTTATTGCTAATATCGACTGCTTAATGGTATTGGTGTAGTTCTTGTAGAATTCCACTGTAATACATTCAAGAAGCATCTTTTGAACTATTGGAGGTGAATTTTTCAGACTACCCTTTGTAGTTACCTGTATTTTTGCAGTGTACTTCAGACTTGGATTGTTAAGTAAAGTAGCTACAAGGCCAAGCAGTAGTGGTAAGTCTTTGTATCTGCATTAGACGAAAGGTAGCTAACATTCCTGTACTGTCGGTAGCTGGCAGCATCCCTCCCCCTCCCCCCATGGTGAAACTGGAGCCTAAGGCTGTGGCAGTGGATGATGGCCGTTCTGCATTATTTGAATCCATTAACAAGGGAACAGATATCACCTCTGGACTTAAAAAGGTAGGAATTTTATTTTTCTGATGATTATACAGAAATAATTATGTTCCCACTTAAAAAAAAAAAACACCTGGATGCTATTACCTCACCAAATGGTGTCCAGTAATATATATAATTGATAACTATAAGTGGTCTTAATTCCTTTTTGGAGAAGTTTTATATGCTCAGTATTTTCCTTTGATTTTGTATGATTTGACTCCATATTTGGCTTGCCTAAGCTAATCATCTGTGGCTGTTATATAATAAGATAAAAACCCAACCATTGTTAGAACTGCTATCTGTTGAAGATAATTTAATATTTATTTGTGGTCAAAATGGGCTGTTGTACGTATCACTTAGTGTAGCACTAGTTCCCAAATCACTGTACTCTGTTCACAGCTTTTAAATCTATTAAAACTTGGGATATTAAGCAGTGAATGAAATTTACTTAATCAGTTCTGATAAATACTTGTAATAAGAGAGCCAATATTGTTAAGAAATGTAAATTTTCTAAATAGCTTTTCGTTCATAACCACAGTTTTGCGTAGCTGCTGACCACCCTAACTAGGAAGTGTAATATAAATGAAGAAACACATCTTTCAATATTGAATGTTATTAGCAGTATAATGTTTCTTAATTATTATTCCCTTTTTTTTTTCCTCTTGTTTTGTTTCCAGGTATCTTGAGAATACCTCTGACAATATACAAGGTGAACAAAACCACAGCAACTCCACTGCTTAAAGACAGAGATATCTTCCACAAGTATTTATTTCAATGAATAAAAGTTAGTCAATATCCATTGACTCATGCACTCTCATATTATTAGAAATGCATTTCTGGGGAAAATTCCTTTATACATTTCTACTTAAAATCACATTTTTTTTTTTTTTCTGCGGTATAGCGTCCCACACACATACACTCAAAGCCTGTGTACAAGGAATGAAGGTAATATATTGACACCAAGTATTATTAATTAAAATTTTCTTGCAAAAAACAGTACATGATACTTTTATCAGTGATAGTTGGCTTGTTGAGTTGACAGCTTGAGAGGTGGGGTACCGCTGGAAATTATTGTAGAGGGTATAAGCCAGGGAGTGAGAAGAAGAAAAGAGACGAGAATTGGAGAAAAATGAGAGACGAATTGAATTGAGTTATCATACGTTAGTGGCCAAAAGATGACATGGCCATAAGATGAGATAGAAAGAGAAAAGATATGTTTGCTGCAATCCAATTTTTGGAAAACCTCGGGCACGAGTCGGTTATACTTTGTCATCACAAATCGGGGTAAACCATGTTTTTTAATGCATTATTAGTCAGCATATGCAATTTTTTCTGTCAGTGGAAACTAGTAATAATGTTTATACATGCATGAAGTCACCATGGCTGTTTAACATATTTATAGATGGGGTTGTAAAAAAAAGTGAATGCTTAGGTGTTGGGAGAGGTGTGGGATTAAAAGATAAAGAATCTAATACAAATTGGGAGTTGTCACAGTTGGTTTTTGCCTATGACATAGTGCTTTTGGGAGATACTGGAGAGAAGTTGTAAAGGTTGTTGGACGAATTTGGAAAGTGTATGTGAAAGATGGAAATTAAAAGCGAACATAGAAAAAGAGCAAGGTGGTGAGAGTAACAAAAAGATTAGGTAATGAAAGATTGGATATCAGATTGGAAAGAGGGAATATGGAGGGAGTGAATGTTTTCAGATATTCAGATATTTGGGAATATTACTTGTTGGCAGATGGGTCACTGAAAGACTAAGTGAACCATAGAATTAGCGAGGGGGGAAAAAAGGTGGGTGGTGCATTGAGTCACCTGTGGAGATGAAAGTTATCCATGGAGGCAAATAAGGTAATGCATGTGAGTATAGTGGTACCAACACTTATATGGGTGTGAAGCATGGGTTTTAAATGTTGCTGTGAGGAGAAGGCTGGAGGCAGTGGAGATGTTATGCCTGAGGGCAATTTGCAGTTTGAATATCATGCAAAAAATTCATAGTTTGGAGATTAGGAGGAGATGCAGTTACTTAAAGTTAAAATGTGAGGAAATCAGCGAGAATATTTTTACAGTACTGTATGCATATAAATTGTTCAACTTGCTGAACAGAGTGGGGTTCAAACTCATGATAACATGTCCTGAAACTAGCAGTTTAATGCTATATGTCGACGTTATAGATTCATCCAACTGTGTATTTCTGTGCACATTATGAAATTTAGCATTGGCCACCACTCTGACTACAAATGCAGGTTTTTGTAGAGAAATCTCACACTAGTAACTGTGGAATGCTCATGTCCCTTCAAAGCCATTAGAAACTGTACAATTTGTTTATCACGGGAGTCGCAAGTTTTGGTCGTGTCTATGTGAGCAAGACCACCACTGGGGATGTCATATTATGTTACTGGTAAATTAATGTTTAACATGCTGGCTGTCGTCCACCTATGTAGATTGACAGGAAAAAGGAAACATTCACTATTCAGGCTAAAACGTTGTGTAGTTTTAAAAATAGGTTAGATAAATACATGAGTGGGTGTGAGTTGGACCTGACTAGCTTGTGCTGCTGGGTCTGGTGCAATGCTCCATCCTTGAGTGGAGATGATCAGACTGGGTGGGTCATTGGGCTAATCCAGGGGGGGATGGGTCATTGGTCTAATCTGGGGGGGGGGGCATTGACCTGCTCTGCATGGACCTGCTCCGCATGGGTCAGTAGGCCTGTTGCAGTGTTCCTTCTTTCTTATATTCTTATTCAATAGCTGTCTTTAACCCTTAAACTGTCCAAACAGATTTACGTTCACATGCGTAGTGCTCCAAAAGTAGATCTACGGCTTTTTTACATATTTTCAAATACAGTGGACCCTCGACCAGCGATGGCATCGATTAACGATAAATCTGACTAGCGATATATTTTATCGCAAAAATTTTGCCTCGATTAGCGCTAAAAAACTCGACCAACACTATTCGTTCCATCTGAGACGCGTCCACTTCTGGCCAGTGTTTACAAGCCAGCCAGCCACCGCGGTCACTTCCAAGCATACAATCAGAACATTTCATATTATCACAGCCTTTTTAGTGATTGCACCTGCAAAGTAAGTCACCATGGGCCCCAAGAAAGCTTCTAGTGCCAACCCTACAGCAAAAAGGGTGAGAATTACTATGGATATGAAGAAAGAGATCATTGCTAAGTATGAAAGTGGAGTGCATGTCTCCGAGCTGGCCAGGCTGTACATAAAACCCCAATCAACCATCGCTACTATTGTGGCCAAGAAAACGGCAATCAAGGAAGCTGTTCTTGCCAGAGGTGCAACTATGTTTTCGAAACTGAGATCGCAAGTGATAGAAGATGTTGAGAGACTGTTATTGGTGTGGATAAACGAAAAACAGATAGCAGGAGATAGCATCTCTCAAGCGATCATATGTGAAAAGGCTAGGAAGTTGCATGACGATTTAATTAGAAAAATGCCAGCAACTAGTGGTGATGTGAGTGAATTTAAGGCCAGCAAAGGATGGTTTGAGAGATTTAAGAATCGTAATGGCATACATAGTGTGATAAGGCATGGTGAGGCTGCCAGTTTTGACCAAAAAGCAGCTGAAAAATATGTGCAGGAATTCAAGGAGTACATAGACAGTGAAGGACTGAAACCTGAACAAGTGTTTAATGGTGACACTGATAATGTTGTGAAACACTTTAGGAATGTCATAAAGGAACGGGAGGTACAGGCCTCTATGGGCAGATATGTTGTGCGACAGAGGTCCAGTGACTCTCAAGCTGGTCCTAGTGGCATTAAAAGAAGAAGGGAAGTAACCCCTAAAAAGGACTTGCCACCTCAGGTCCTAATGGAAGGAGATTCCCCTTCTAAACACTAAGACCATCAACACACTCCCCTCTTCCCATCCCATCAATCATCACCAGATCTTCAATAAAGGTAAGCGTCATGTAACTGTGCATGTCTTCTTCAGTTTGTGTGTATTAAAATTAATATTTCATGTGTTAAAATTTTTTTTTTTCAATACTTTTGGGTGTCTTGCACGGATTAATTTGATTTCCATTATTTCTCATGGGGAAAATTAACTTGACTAACGATTATTCTGACTAACGATGAGCTCTCAGGAACGGATTAATAGCGTTAGTCGAGGGTCCACTGTAGTATAACAAAAAAAAAAGTAGATCAAGTTTTTTTACGTTTTCAAATGTAGAAAAAGAAAGAGATCTACTTTTTTTACATACTTTCAAATGTTGAAAAAACGTAGATCTACGTTTGGACAGTTTAAGGGTTAATGCAGGCACTGTACTTCCCACCTGCATGACTGAGTGTAACTAACTCTCATGTGATTATTGACCTCTGAGCTAACTGACCCAGGAGCCATCATAGTCCTTCAACCCAAAAATAGCATAATGCAGTGATAAAACATCTGATATTTTGATAATTTTTTTTTCATAATTTCCTTTTTGTGCTCACAACATGGGGTTTTACTCTGGACATATTCATTTAGTAAAACATCTTGCATTATGGCCAGAAGTGCATGGCAGGTTAGTGGCAGGGGAGGGGATGGCTGGAGCTTATACTGCTAGTTGAAGGCCATACTACAGCTACAGGTCTTTTATAGATGTTTTGGATATAGAGGAAGCTAAGCCTCCCACTGTGAACTAAAACATTTTTTTTTCTTGCAACTTATAAGATTTTACACAATTTAAATAGCGTGTTATTGAAGACAGAGATTATGAAAGTGTTGTATTGAATGCTTTTTCTTTATTATGGGAGAATTCAAGTGTTATCCAGTTTCACTTTTTTTTTTAAGTTCCTCCTTAACTAGTGTTTAAATTTAGGGGGGTAGAGCATAAACTGTTGGTTTTGTCATCAGCAAAGAGGCTTAATATGCTAGGTGGCATTTGATAAATCACTAATATAGATGAGTAAGAGAGGATGACTTTTCTGTGTTTGAAAGTGAGTTTTTTTTTTTTTTTTTAATTCTCTCCATTTATATGAGGAGGAAATAGGTTGAGATAAATGCATATATACATATTTTATTATTTAAATTCTATTTAAGGTTTTTAATATTATTGTCTGTAGAAGCAGCCATTATCCTAAGTTTCATTCTTACTTAGGTGGACCGCAACGCACCTCGCCCTCATCCCCTAAGTAAAGGGGCGCGGACATCACAAACAGTAATTTGAATACATATGTTTTGGGTGCTCAAGTATACTAGTTAATATGGGTATCATCTGCCTTACTGCTTTAGGAAAATACCCTTGTTCTCTAACTTTTTCTGTTTCTTCTGTTCCATTATACATGTAGTTTGAGACTTTTGTAAAGCCATCATGTTCACTGTAATGTTTTAAGTGCATATGGGCATTTCTGAAAACTATATTTTACATAAAATTTTGTCATTACATTACACTTTTTTCTAATTTATACTAGTATTTTTTCATTGAAATTAAATGAATTATAAATTTTACCGAGACTGTTCATCCATTGACTGATTAAAGTAATGTTAGATTTTTTACCAATTTAGTAGAAAAATGGCCAGCTTTTCACTACATGCATTGTGTGCAGTAATTGTGAGGTTCAAGAGTTTGTTGCCGAATTTTGGATTTAGTCCAGAGATTTTTATTTGTTTCCTTTTTAAAATATTTCTTATTAACTACTGTCTATTGACTTTGGGCTATCAAGTGTTATGTCTTGTTGCTTGGTAATTATAGATATCCGTGAAAATTTATACAGTTGGATGTTGAAATTTTATAAATATTTGTCATGATATTCCCTGTGCTGTATTCTGGTGAACATTTTAAAAACAATACTGTACTTTTTGTGCTTTAACTTTGGTTTGGGAATAAGTGGTACCCGTAGTTTTGGTGAGGAATGTGAACTTTATCTTTGGTGTACTTTTTCCATACTTCTATCTAACAGTAATATTAAGCTTAATTGTTACTTCATACTAACTTATCTTTGTATATACTGAACCTGTCATGTGGAATTTCCAATTAGCCATTTTTAATGTTTTGAAAAAACGACAAGTAGTTTAGTAAATATGTATTTGTTTACCCTTGATTGCCAAGGTATTATTGACATTCTCATCTAATGAAAGTCTGAAGTGGAATACAGTAAAGAAAATATAAGGAAAGAAATCAGTGTGTGTGTGTGTGTGTGTGTGTGTGTGTGTGTGTGTATTCTTCTATGCCAAAGCTAAGAAGGTTGTAAATGTTAATGTGATGCTAGTCTCATGGTAATATAGCAGGTGTTCCTTGAGTTAGAGATTGGTTGGTATCTACCACGTATCTTTGACAAAAGTACTTAGTTTAACAGCACTTAGTGGTGCTCTCCAATTTTCTCTGCCTCTACAAATGTTACCCTTTCATTGAATACTTTTTCCCATTCTATATTTCTCATGATTTCTTTACTTTTTTTTAAGGAACTGTTCTTGTTCATGCTCCCTGAGGATAAGAAAGCCCAATTTACACATCAGATTTTATGAAAAATTTTCAGTTGATATAGTATTTTAGGCATCAAGTATAGTATATAGATCAATTTACAGTTTTACATTTGTAGTCTAATTCATATCATTCCTTGGCTGTTCATGTTGTTGGTTAGAAATTTGCCTCTAATGCAATTAGTTACATGAATATGGTTTCCAAGAACTTCTTAAAAATACATTGTTTAAAAAATCAATTCACTTGCATACCATATAAAAAATGCTCCTATTTTTAACTGTTTATAGTTATTACAGAACAGTACAAGCTAAAGATTCCATTATTTTTCTGCTGGAAACTTTATATTAAAACGTGCTATATCATTTATGGTATATTGGACCAACAGTGTTATTGTTTTATTAACAGGTCTGATACCTGTGTTAATGTGTTTCTTTAATATCTTTACTCTTGTTAGATACATGGTTTAGGCTCCTTCACTAATATATACGAAAATTGATCACTATTGGTTTTGTTCAATATATGTCGATGGTAATTGTTTTTTGTCAGAATTAATCTTTGAAGTAAATCATATGTAGTGACTAAAATCTGGTATAGTGCATAAATTACTTTCATAATCTTCAAGTACTATGATTGTAATTAGGTAATTTTTTGTACATTAAGATATTAAAGCATCAGCATTTCCTACCTAGGTTGGGTGACCTATAAATATAACACTTTTTTCATCGCTCATTCTCTAGCTGTCATTCCATAAATGCATGAACATCAAAATTCACATATAACTATTCAAAGTGTGATATGCCTACCATCCTTCAGATTGCAAGCACTGTTCTTCTGTCTCAAGAACTCTTCTACTCTGTCTCAGGAATTGAACTTTGTTTAATGTCATTGGAAATATACTTTATTCACTTCCTTTAAACAAAATACCTGAAAGGGCATCTTTTGGACATCATTACAGAATGTGATTGAAAGTACTGAATTTACAAGTAGGACCCAATTTATCTACCCACATGTTAATTTTTAGTGTATATTTAATTCTCAGTGGTATGGAGTTTCATGTTTAAATATAATTTCTAGGATTGTTTTGCTTATCTAAAGACATCACATACCGTGCCTGTAATGTGTGTGTATATTCACCACATTCACAAAAGATACGGAAATTATATAATCCTCATAAGGCTGATATTGAAGGTATATTTTGTATCTATAGTATTTTCTATTTTTCATATGATTAAAAAATCTCTTAATTTGATTTTACTTGGTTTTATCATCCAGCTACTTTGTGCTCAGCTACTAAAACCTGTTTAATGATTTATGCCTCTATTTTGTGTGTAATTATTTGTTATTGCCTGGTAGGGGCTATAGGAGCAAAGAGATGTTTTTTATACATTTCCAGTGGTTGTAGTACTTGCTACTTCCTCTTAGATGTCATTTTTCTACAGTAGAATTGTAATATTTTTGCATTGTATTTTTCTAGAGTTTATTGTGGTCTCTCTCCCTGGTGGTGATTACAAAAAATATGAATTTTTCCTAGTCTTTTATGGCTGTACGCTTTAGTATATGGCCATGTTGTATTGGTTCTTTTTCTCTTTTCCCTCTTAATCAGAAAAAAAAGGTTCAGTATTTTCAATCTTTCTTTGTAATTTATTCTTTTGAGTTCTTGGAGACATTTCATAACTTGTTTTTGAATTTTTTCAATCTTACTGTACTTTTTTTTTACGTGTGAATGGCACACCATTGCTTCATATTCTAGTGTATCTAGCATAAGATGTGAGCAGTTTCATAGCCAGTGAAGCTTATTCATATATGATTTTTTTGGTGACAATCTTTTATACATAAGGTTATCTAGATATGTATATCTATGATGATTTCAATGTGTTTTCATGGAAAATATTTTCAAATGGCCTATTGTTGCTTTCTCCCATTTCCTGATTCTTCCTTATGGTTGGGTTGTTTGATTTTTAGGGATCTTATGCTCATTGTCCTTATGAGACCATATGATGAAGTGATAGGTACTCTTTTTTCCCCTCACTTATTGCATCATTGAGCCTTTTGGAAGTTTTATGTAATCATATGTTTTGTGTGCAAGGGGCTTTACATCCAGCAGGCCCGTGAGAGCATGTTAAGATAGGAGTGAGGCATATAGTTTTTGGGACTTGTTGAGCTGTTGGAGTGGAAGGAAGAGATTCAAGGAAACTGGTTAGCTGAACTTGAGTCCTGGAGGTAGAAAGTACAGTGTCTACACACTGAAGGAGGGGTGGGGATATTTGCAGTTTGTAGGGGCATCTGAGCCTGCATATTTGGTTGGAGACGGCCAGTGTGTTAAAAAAAAATAATTACATTCTTACCTCCTTTGACAGATCTGGTCTAATTAATATGTTATTGTACCCTTCTGGGCTCTTTATCCTTCATTTTATTAATAGTTCTTCCTTATTCTTTATCTGTTTGTTTTAATTTTAATGTCTTTTCAGTTCTATTTTCCAATTCTGTATTCTGCTATGTGTTTTCATTGTTGAAATCAATTAAGCTCTTGTTTTGATATCACTGATTTGTTGTCCTTCCTCTTATCAATACATTTTCTAAAAATAATGACCACATTGTTTATCATTGACCTCGTCTATCTGTTTCCTCAGTTCTTCAGTTTATTTAACTACATACACAGCTTTCCTCAATCTCTGATTTACCCGAGTTTCGCTCTTTTCTCTAATTTCTCTCTCTTACTTTTTGGCATATATGCATTTTTTACCAAATAACACCTCATGAGCTCTTTTATTGTTATCGATATTTTCATGGTGAAGGAGTAAACCAGTAGGAAGGGAAGAGCAACTGCAATTCCTTGGATCAAGAGTCCTTCACCAGCATAAAAAGTCTTTAAGGGATATTTTATTAAAGATTTAGAGAAGAGTTATAATTAAATTATGACACCTTTATTTTTACAAATTTCCTTATTTTTGGGTTGCCCTTCCTTGGTAGCTGACTAAAAAAAAACAAAAAATGAAACTTCTTTATCAGTATTGATCAGATCCATTATTTTTCTCTAATAAATTGTATACAAAAGCTACCTCTTGAGAAACTTTAAAATATGTTAATGATCCTGTTGCCTATGAAAAGCATTCATTACAGTAAAAGCTTAAAGAGGAGATATTCACTGCCTCATTTTTTATTTTGAGGATTTTAAATCCTGTGTTATATTCATTAACCAGAGAATAGAAATAATAAATAATATAGCACCTGGAATTGGTTTTACTTCAGTCTTACAATGTAAAGGTCATTTTTTCTCTATCATTTTCTGTGGTGATGGTTGTGGTGGTGGTGGCAGCAGGGATAGTGGTGGTTGTAGTGATGGTTGTGGTGGTGGTGTTGGTTGTGGGGGTGGAACCGGTGATGGTGGTATAGTTCTTATTAACACAAATAAGGATTGGTATATATTTTGTTGCAGTTATTGCTTAAAGAAAAGCATAGGTTGTCTCGTAATATTTGCTTTTGTGACAATTTTATTTTGAAAGTGGCTAAGCAAGATTGTAGACCACATTTCTAAAATTGGATAAAATTTATTTATTTATTTAGCAATTGTATCGGTGTGTTAAGCATTCATTCATTTTCCCAGGTAACAGATGACATGAAGACCCATAAGAATCCCAGTCTTCGTGAGGGTCCAAAACCATTTGTAAAGCAGTCAAGTCCACCAAATCGTGCATCTCCAGCCCGTGATGGCCCAACTGGTCGTCCCAAATTTGCACTAGAGGGCAAGAAGTGGTTTATTGAATATCAGAATGATAAACCAGATCTCATTGTCAAAGATGCCAGAATGGATCAATCTGTATACATATTTAGATGCCAGAACACTGTAGTCCAAGTAAAGGTAAATCATTGCCTTAGTTGTTCAAAAACTTAATATTCTACAATATTTTATAGGAATGCATTTAGTGTTTGTATTAAGGTTTTATGTAGGTCATTATTTTAAGAGTGAGAACAGTGTACACACATTAATTGTGATGTAATCAGCAAGGTACTGTAAATGATATATACTTCTTGTCTGCAGTCAAGCTAAGGCTGGGTAATCATGTAGACACCTTACTCTTGGTTAGAGGTACCTGACAAGCCCTTGGCTTCCTGTGCTAAGCTGTTGCACTTTTTGGATAAAAAGCAGGCCCACCATAATAATGCAGATATATGGATGGTATGAGTGTAGTGAATGCAGAATCAAAGGTAGTGAATCACTGTCAAAACCGGTTAGCTGGATTTGAGTCCTGGAAATGGGAAGTAAAATGCCTGCACTTTAAAGGAGGGATTTGGGATATTGGCAGTTTGGAGGGACTTCTAAACTGTCGTATCTGAGTGCCTCTGCAAAGACAGAGCTACAGGGATATTGGGAAATATTTCTTAGCCTAAAGAGTGATAAAGAAATGAAATGAGCTAACAAATGGCAGTGTTTAACAATAGGTATAACAGGGCTAATTTACTGAATGCGACCAAAAGTTTAGGGTAATTACAGTATCGATCATTTCAAGGAAAGTTACCTTGGTGCTGGCAAAGCTCTTGTTCCATGGAACTGGATGTATCCTCTTCTTAGATTAAACCTTAATGTCTCCCATTCTCCATGTGCTATATGATGCCTATGGGTTCAGCCCCTTTCATCCCTCTGATAAAGTAACTACTGTACAGGAGGGCCCTGCTTGTACAGCAGGTTAGGCTCCAGGCTACTGCCGGAAACCGAACATCGACATTTGTTTCCACTTATAAATGTCAGATAATAAGTTTACACTAACATATATTAACCCTTAAACGGTCCAAGCAAATCGACGTTCAAATTCGTAGTGCTACAAAAGTAGATCTACTTTTTTTTAACATTTCAAATGTAACAAAAAAAAAATGTAGATAAATTTTTTTTACACGTTTTCAAATGTAAAACAAAAAAGAAGATCTACATTTTTTTACATACTTTCAGATGTTGAAAAAACGTATATATACGTTTGGACAATTTAAGGGTTAAGTTAGCAATAGAACAAGGCATTAAAAACAATAAAAAGTAAAATACACACACAGTACACTCATTACTTACCTCAATATATTTGTAGTCTTAATGTAGGGTGATAAGTGAATAGTGTTTATTGTAAGAAGTTAGGTGTAGTAGGCATGGCAGCCAGCCGGGCCACCCCACCCACATGTAATATACTTTGACATTTAACCCTTAAATGGTTCAAACGTATATATACGTTTTTTCAACATCTGAAAGTATGTAAAAAAAATGTAGATCTTCTTTTTTTGTTTTACATTTGAAAATGTGTAAAAAAAACTTTTATCTACATTTTTTTTTATATTTGAAAATATGTAAAAAAAAAGTAGATCTACTGTTGTAGCACTACGAATTTGAACGTCGATCTGTTTGGACCGTTTAAGGGTTAAAGAGCCCTAGAGCAATAAAATGCATTTAATGTACACTCATTACTTAATTTATTTGTAGTCTTAATATAGGATGCAAGGTGAATAGGAGGGTAGGTAGGTATCAAAGTGTGGTGGGTATTGTAGTCCATCTGGCCACCCACCCACACATTATATATTAGGTATTTAAAGTACCCTAGAGTGATAAAAATGCATATACAGTACACTCATTACTTACCTTAAATTATTTGTAGTCTTAATGTAGGGTGAGAGGTGAGTAAACGAGATTAAACAAATAAACAAGAGAGAGAGAGAGAGAATGAGTACATGAGAGAGTAATAGGTTCGCAAATTTTGTAAACAAAGCGTCTAAACACGTATGGTTTTAGTTCACTCCCGCAAGCCAACTGGAAAAAATCTCATATTTTAGGTTAATTTATTCTACTGTGGGTATATTTATCATGTTTATATGTTACGTAGCATGTGTATTATATAATTTTGAAAAAAATATCATGGATTAACCAAAATGTCTATGGTAATGTTGTATATGACATTTAATGTGCCTCAGAGTGATTATTATTGTGTTATCATCATTATTAATATGGCATCTTCAAGACTAATAAGACATTCTTATTGATTTTAATGTGTACCTGCATGCCAGCACAGTGTGTAAGTTTACTTAGGTACAGGTACACACAAGTATAATTATCAGAGTATATGTATCAGATTATGTATTGGTGGATAAAAGGTTGATGGGTAGGCTCCAGGATGTACATGTTTATAGAGGGGCAACTGATATATCGGATCATTATTTAGTTGTAGCTACAGTCAGAGTAAGAGGTAGATGGGAAAAGAGGAAGGTGGCAACAACAAGTAAGAGGGAGGTGAAAGTGTATAAACTAAGGGAGGAGGAAGTTTCGGGGGAGATATAAGCCACTGTTGGCAGAAAGGTGGGCTAGTGCAAAGATGAGTAGTGGGGGGGTTGAAGAGGGTTGGAATAGTTTTAAAAATGCAGTATTAGAATGTGGGGCAGAAGATTGTGGTTATAGGAGGGTGGGGGCAGGTGGAAAGAGGAGCGATTGGTGGAATGATGAAGTAAAGGGTGTGATAAAAGAGAAAAAGTTAGCTTATGAGAGGTTTTTACAAAGCAGAAGTGTTATAAGAAAAGCATAGTATATGGACAGTAAAAGAAAGGTGAAGAGAGTGGTGAGAGAGTGCAAAAGGAGAGCAGATGATAGAGTGGGAGAGGCACTGTCAAGAAATTTTAATGAAAATAAGAAAAAAATTTGGAGTGAGTTAAACAAGTTAAGAAAGCCTAGGGAAAGTATGGATTTGTCAGTTAAAAATAGAGTAGGGGAGTTAGTAGATGGGGAGAGGGAGGTATTAGGTAGATGGCGAGAATATTTTGAGGAACTTTTAAATGTTGAGGAAGAAAAGGAGGTGGTAATTTCATGCACTGGTCAGGGAGGTATACCATCTTTTAGGAGTGAAGAAGAGCAGAATGTAAGTGTGGGGAGGTACGTGAGGCATTACGTAGAATGAAAGGGGGTAAAGCAGCTGGAACTGATGGGATCATGACAGAAATGTTAAAAGCAGGGGAGGATATAGTGTTGGAGTGGTTGGTACTTTTGTTTAATAAATGTATGAAAGAGGGGAAGGTACCTAGGGATTGGCGGAGAAGCATGTATAGTCCCTTTATATAAAGGGAAAGGGGACAAAAGAGATTGTAAAAATTATAGAGGAATAAGTTTATTGAGTATACCAGGAAAAGTGTACGGTAGGGTTATAATTGAAAGAATTAGAGGTAAGACAGAAAGTAGGATTGCGGATGAGCAAGGAGGTTTCAGAGTGGGTAGGGGATGTGTAGATCAAGTGTTTACATTGAAGCATATATGTGAACAGTATTTAGATAAAGGTAGGGAAGTTTTTATTGCATTTATGGATTTAGAAAAGGCATATGATAGAGTGGATAGGGGAGCAATGTGGCAGATGTTGCAAGTATATGGAATAGGTGGTAAGTTACTAAATGCTGTAAAGAGTTTTTATGAGGATAAGTGAGGCTCAGGTTAGGGTGTGTAGAAGAGAGGGAGACTACTTCCGGTAAAAGTAGGTCCTTAGACAGGGATGTGTAAATAAGTCATACATGGTTGTTTAATTCTAGTTATAAGGGGTTGTAAAAGAAGTAAATGCTAGGGGTGTTCGTGAGAGGGGTGGGATTAAATTATGGGAATCAAATTCAAAATGGGAATTAACACAGTTATCTTTTGCTGTGATTCTGTGTCTATGGGAGATTCTAAAGAAAAGTTGCAAAGTTTGTGGATGAGTTTGGGAATGTGTGTAAAGGTAAAAGTTGAAAGTGAACATAGAAAAGAGTACGGTGATGAGGGTATCAAATGATTTAGATATAGAAAAATTGGATATCAAACGGGAGGAGGAGTATGAAGAAGTAAATGTTATCAGATATCTTGGGGAGTTTACGTGTCGCGGATGGAATTTATGAAGAGAGTTAATCATAAAATTGAGTGAGGGAAAAAAGGCGAGTGGTTCATTGAGGTAATGTGATCAAAAAACGGTATCTATGGAGGCAAAGAAGGGAATGTATAAAGTAAGTAGTACCCAACACTCCTATATGGTGTGAAGCTTGTGGTAATGCAGCAGCGTGAGACGGTTGGAGGCAAGTGGAGATGTCCTGTCTAAGGGAAATGGTGGTGTAAAGATTATGCAACACTTCGGAGTGTGAAATTAGGAAAAGGTGGAGTTATAAAAGTAATAGTCAAGGGCAAAGGGGTTGATTGAGTGGTTTGGTCCATTTAAAAGAATGGATAAAGTAAATGACTGGGAAGCTATATAACGGCTATAGGGGAAGGAAGGCGAGGTAGGGGTCCGCCCGGAAAAGGTTGAGAAGGGGTAAAGGAGGTTTTGTGGGCAAAGGGGCTTGGACTTCCAGCAAGCGTGCGTGAGCGTGGTTAGATAGGAGTGAATGAGACGAAATGTACTTGGACTTGATGATCTTTGGAGTGTGAGCAGGTAATATTTAGTGAAAGGGATTCAGGGAAACCGTTATTTTCATTATAGTCGGACTGAGTCCTGAAATGGGAAGTACAATGCCTGCACTTTAAAGAGGGGTTTGGATATTGCATTTGAGGATCTGTTTTTCTTTATACGTAATGCTTCTAACCTGTTGTATTCTGACCCTAGCAAAAACAGTGATTATGTGTGAGTGGGGGGAAAGTGTGAATGAGATGAAAGCATTTCTTTTTGGGATTTCTTTCTTTTTTGGGTCACCCTGCCTCGGTGGGAGACGGCCAACTTGTTGAAAAAAAAAAAAATGTATCAGTGGGATACGGCCGGTTTGTTGAAAGAAGAAGATATGAAATATGAAATAACTTTAAAACACTTGAAATTTTGGAAAGTTTCCAAACATAATGGAGGGACGCGGTGCTCACGGAGAATGTAAACAAATCGGGTGGTGCATGCCATATTAGAAAGATAGGAAGCTGTATAGAGAGTTTTGGTCATAATTTGAAATCACCGTATTAGCAGAATGCTGTAAAGGTGAAATGCCGTAAAGTGGGGCCCTACTGTATTTACAATATTATATACTAAATTAGCAATAGAACTAGGCATAAAAACAGTAAAAAAAAAATAAAATGTACATACAGTACACTCATTACTTACAATATTTGTAGTCTTAATGTAGGGTGAGAGATGAGTAGTATTTATTATAGGAAGTCGGATGGTGTGGTAGTCCGCCTGACTACCACACTTCTCAGTTATGTTAATTTGTACATACATACTATGTATGTATTTTGTTAATGATATGATGTATGTTTCTTATATAATTTTGAAAAAATTTATAGATGGATTAATGAAAATGCCTATAATAACGTAATACACGATATTTAAAGGGCCCCAGAGCTGCTATTATTAGTAGTATTCTTATTGTATCTTCAACACCAGTGATTCTAATGTACCTGCATGCTAGCACAGTGTGTAAGTTTATTTAGGTACAGGTACACATAAGCTTGAAATATTGCAAAGTTTCCAGACATAATCAAGAGCCGTATAAGCAAATTTTTGGGTATAATTTGAAATGTCTGTATTAGCAAAATGCTGTAAAGCGGGCCCCACTTGTATAGGTGAATATTGAAATAATTTTTTCTACTTTCCATTGTATTTATTTTATTAGTGATAAGTACTATTCCCTTGATGGAGAGCTCCTCACCAGCATCAAGACACCTTCCCTGAGGGGACTCTCCATTGTTAAACCCTGAAGAGAACCTGTACAGTTTTCATTAATTTGGCATAATTTGTATTAGAAATTGCTGTCAGTGCATGGGTTCTGTATGTTCAGTATAAATTCTTTATATTGTTCCCAACAGGGAAAGGTAAATTCTGTCATCCTAGATTCCTGCAAGAAGTCATCAGTAGTATTTGACAACCTCGTGTCTTCAGCAGAAGTTGTTAATTGCCAATCCTGTCAAGTTCAGGTAAGAATATTTTTTTTTTTAACTGAGATGTATATAATAAGTGTAAGAGTAAGACTACTTATATCACACCTTTTCATGTATTTTTTACTTTTAACCCCTTCAGGGTCCAAGGCCAAAATCTGAAGTGGTGCTCCAGTGTCCAAGAAATTTTTTTTTTTTTAAAAGTATTTTTTCTTACAGAATTAAAGAGCATATTTTTGTGAAGGTAATAAGTAAAAAAAAAAAAAATAATTCTGATCAGTACTTACCGAGATACAGTGCCAAGAAGTTTGTCGAAAATGATGTGGTGGCGGCAACATCGACGAATTCCACATACGCGCATTACATTATTTTGTGGTTTTTGTTGTTTTTTCTTTTCTTTTCCAATTTTTTTTTTATTTCCTACTAACAATTGGGGCCTGAGAAGCCCAAATTTCAGTATAAATGTATAAATATTTTTTAAACTCACTGTATGAACACAATAACCCACTAAAGTTATTATCAATTATTGTTTACCACTGTTGTTTATTTACAATAAACAGCACAAAATCTTGTATAAAATACTAATGTTCTATCATATATTTACATATTTACAATCACTGGATATGGTTTTAGAACTGCTGGAGCTTGTGGAACTCCTTGAAACAAGGCACCATGCACAGAGGCACCTTACACAGAGGCACCTTACATTCCTCACACATAAACCGAGTGTCTTTGCATCTTTGTTGCCGTCTTTTTGTTTGTGCACAGACGAGGCATCTCTTCTGAGCAAATTTCTTCTGAGTTGAAGGAAGTTGTATTATGAAATGATCACCTTCCCTCCTCAAACGCTTGAGTATATCCTGAGGAATTCGAGGACCATGTTGTATAGCAGGTGTTGTTACCTGGTACTTCATTATGAGTTGTCTGACAACAGACAAACAAAATTCACCATACGGTGGTCTGTTGCCAGTCCTTTTTTTGGTACATTTTATATCATTGAGCATTGAAATGTCCATGAGATGGAAGAAAAGTTTCATTACCACTTGTAACTCTTACGAACACAGCAACAAAACCAATCGCATGCCCAAAATGTCAACCAAGCTCATGTTTTGTGTATAATCAATCACTGTCACTGGTTTTTCGAATACGTTCATTAGTCACTCGATAAACTTTGCCACTGTCTTGCATTTCATTACGGTGAATGGTTGCCCAACAATTTTGACATCTCGTTTGTCATCCACCGTAATCCCCATGATTCATTGCATAAACACCTGCACTTCATCACCACGAGCACCTGCGTTGAGCCTGGGCATATGTTTACGATTAGAACGCACTGTGCCACACACATCTGTCTTGTTCACTCGCATGAAATCACTGAGTAATGGGCTTGTGTACCAGTTATCGGTATATAATGTATGCCCCTTACCAAAGATAAGGGTGCCATCATGTTTTCCACTACGTCCCCTGAGAACCCAATAACATCTTGGTATCTTTCAATGTTTTACTACCCGTGTATACAACAAATCCAACACCAGGCCACTGTCAAAAACACAGAGTACAAACATTTTTAATACCAAAGCGTTTCCTTTGCTCGTATATACTGCTTGAATGACATCCTACCTTTGAACAAAATCTAAGACTCGTCAATTACAAGATTCTTAAATGGATAAAGTATATGCTGAACTTTTGTTTGAGATACATGAAAACATTTCTAATTTTGTATAACCTGTCACTTCTGTCAGGCCTGGTTTTGTCAGAGAAGTGCAACATACGTAAGAGTAAGATAAACCTTTCACGGGTATAAATTTAAACTGAAGACCGGGTAGAAATTACCGATCTGGGACCAGTATGCTTTTATATTATGCTTATAGACGTGAGCAAAGCATTATTGTTGCAAAAAGCAAATACATTCTGCAACAGTCGTCTCTTCCACCTGTGTAGTCTTGACTGTGGTGATAAGATCGTATGCCATGGTGAAACTCAAAATACTTATTACTTTCCCTGACAATAATTTCCATCAATGGCGGGTCAAAGAAAAATTCAAAGAATTCAGTTCATTGGCCGGGGTTCCCAAGGGGACAATAGGTAAATTCCACTTTGAGAATCATCAAAGTGGTGAGGCTTGGAACAAAATTGGGATTTTGCTGCCAATCCCCATACGGTTGCTGGTGGATACTGACATCATAGGCTGGTTGTGCGGGTGGTTGTGGTTGTGGTGGGCTGGTGGCGGGCGCTCCCTTTGTCCTTGAACTGACGAGTCAGCAGCGTGGGTCCCAGCGTGGCCTGGTGAGTCCGCATGGCGGGGGCCACTACCATCACCACTAACACCATCCACTGATGCCTGTGGTCTATCCATGCCAAGTGTAGCCACATCACCTCACTACCCACTACCTAAAACTGGTTTTTGGGCCCGGGATGTACTCCGTCCCCTGGGCACAGCATAGGCACACTACCCGAGCGCATGCGGCGGCGAACATACCGACGCTTCACTGGTGAATATGATTCCCCCACTATCACTACTCGATTGATCGTCGACGCAATAAAATCACAGTCCCGCACTATCATCATCATTACTAAAGTCAGAGCCGGGCCCCACGCGAAAATATTAGTTTTCTCTTGCGATGAGGAACAACCGACCGTGAGTCACGAGTGCCCACACCAGAGGTAGAAGGTTGAGGATCGTCAGGGTTTTCTGCCTTTTATCGATATCCTGGTCATTCTTTTTCGGTCACTAACTGATCAAAGCCGTAAAATTTCGTCTCATTTCCACTTCCATCATTTCAGAACTACAGAAGGAAGAGGAGAGTCCCAATTTTCCGGGGAGTGAGAGCTGACTTGCGACGAGGCATGGTGAACAAGGGTAACTGAGCCGGCGTTCCCACAATGCTATGCTGGCGCCTAGATTTTTTGTTTATGGCGCACACCCACCACGCAGACCCGTTCTCTCACATGTAGGCCCATGAGTGTTTTCGCACTAAATTTGACGGCGCTAGAATTTTGGCGTAGGTCTACGGTTTGGACACAACGTAAAGCCGTTGATCTACGGGACGGACCCTGAAAGGGTTAATGGTGGAGACTACTGTTGGTAGACATTTCAGAGGTCATGTCATGATTAATTTTGCTATACAAAGGATTGTACTAAATGATAGTCTATAGTACATTAAAGGCTCATTGTAGCATTTTGCTTAGATTTTAAATGCCATCATGAGTTCACAAGGAAAGGGGATACATAGTTGTATAGTCCAGTAAATGTATTAAGATATGGAGTAATTATAATGATTTTTTGCTAAGCCATTAGCACTTACAGGGAAATTTTATTGAGTTTTGTTTTTTAAATGAGAAACTGAATGTTACATTTGCCTTACTTTAGCAAGAGACTTAATTATAATCACAATCTCCCATCCTGTGGAGAAGTAGATAATAAAAAAACCCACGTACAGTACATAGTTACTATGTAAACACAAAGTATAGTATGTAAATTACACATGACTGCCTAACCAGTTTGATGTGGCTAACTAATGACTTACAAACAAAAGGCACGTAAAGTTGGTGTATGCCAATATCAAATGATGCAAGTTTTCTTGGATAATGGATCACAAGCATAAACTGATTTTTGCTTGACAGCATTCTGGATTATGGTTTTGTAATTCACAACAAAAGGAGCTTGTATTTTATTGGAAAAGTAAATTTACATAGCCTTTAATTTATCAGGTAATCAAGATTATATTATTTTTAAAGTTAAATAAATAACTTCAGGATACAAATTTTATCTTTTCTTTCAGGTAATGGGTGTTATGCCTACAATCTCTATCGAGAAAACAGATGGCTGCCAGGTTTACCTAAGCAAAGGTTCTCTTAGCACTGAGATTGTTACTGCTAAGTCAACAGAAATGAATGTACTTATTCCAAAGGATGATGGAGAGTTTGTTGAATGTCCCATCCCAGAACAGTTCAAGACTGTTATTAATGGTCTATCACTGACAACCACTTGCTCAGAAAAAGCAGGATAAATCAGAAAATGCATCATGCTAATGCACGATAAAATGAACCATAAACAATTATGAGAGGCTGAAGCAATGTGTGTGAGAGACCTGTCGTAAAGTTGATGAAATTGCAAAAATGTACCAAGGTAATGATAAACACTTGATTGAAATTTTATTATACAGTCATTTAGTCACTGTTACACTTGTTTCTATAAAAAGAATTTTAATTAATATATGATTAAAAGTACATGGATGATGGTGATAATGTCTTTTGTAGGGAATTTTTTTTTACTAAATTTGAGGAATACAATTTGCAATGATTTTCTCGAGTTGAAAAAATGGTAAATTTTAATTCAGAAAATCATGAATTTTAAATTTTTCAAGTAAACAATATTTTTTAAAAATTTTGAATTAGGAATATTCTCCCAAAATTCTTAATTTTCTGAATGAGAGTTAACTAGAATACTATCATATTTTTCAGATTCACATTTGTAATTTTCTATAATTTGAACACTGTGGATCATATTAGTCTAAATGAGCGAGAAGTCACTTGCAGATATGACATTATTATTGAGAAAGTTAAAAAATATTAATTTTATCACTTGACAAAAATTTTTTTTTAAATAGTTTAAAGTACTTTGTATTAGGCAAGGTTAATTATGTTAAAATTGGACTTGTGTGTGTCATGTACCAATATCACGTTATAAAATTTGTTGATTACATTTCTGTTGTTAAAATTCATATGTAGGAGCTTATATATACTTTTTTTAAAACTTATTTAAACAATTCATATCTTTATGGGAAGTTTGTAAGGTTCAGCTCAAATTTTTAGAGTTTAATGACAATATGCAGGATGGCTGTAATATTAACATAAGGATAAAACCTAGGGACTGCTAGATAATTATTTATATATAAAAAATGCAAGCACTGGTACACTTCATTGGAAACTTTTCAGTCCTGAGTTTTTGCTCACTCCAAAAGCACACATGGGTAGGGAAATATAAGTTTAAATACAAAGTAGGGTACCTTAAATGGCAGTGAAGTTAGAGGGTTGAAAAATCTTGGCTAACTTTAAAAATAGGTTGGACAAATATGAGAGGGGGGTTGGATTTGAGAAGGGCCTGCCAATAGGCCTGCTGCTGTGCCCCTTCATTATGCTATGGGCATTATCTGATGGCTGTATCTGGTGGTATGGTAGTCAGATAAATAATGTAGGGGCACTACTGCATGCCTTACTCATGTTATACAGGTCCTTCTCAAACCCAATCCTCTTTCTCCCATTTGTCCTACCTGCTTTTGAAACTTCCCAGTGTTTTTTCAACATCTAATGTCACTGCCACTGAGTTGCCTTCCTTGTTTTCCTACCCTTGTGTGCATTGGGTGTGACCAAAATCCCAAGACATACATTTCCAATATAATATTTGTTTGCCTTTTTCTCTTTTCCAACTTGTCAGTACCACATACAATTTTTACCACAATTATTTATCTTGCCAAATTCTGTTAAGGTGCAATAAAATGTGCATCAATAATAATGAATTTCTTTATTATAGCCACAGAGTGATGTTGCATTTCATTGTTTGACTTGTCTGTTAAGTTACATTTGTTAAACAGCATCATGTAATAATATATACATAGTTTAATATTAATCTTCATAAGAACTTGAGCAAGACACTGATAGGAGTATTATTGTACAACTGTTTGCCACAGAACATCTTTCATAGGACATCTGAAACACTTGGGTATCTTTGAGGAAACCTTTTGCCACACATTGGCTTCATCAGTTTATACAAAGAAGAATGCTGAAGATCAGGAGTTTGAGGTAATCAGTCTCTCAATCTTGAAAAGAATACAGCATATGCACAAAAGTGGCTTATATAGTGTAGACAAGCGAGGTGAAACAGTCGTAAGCAATATCACAGTGGACAAATCCCTACGTGGAAGTCAGTCATGCCTGCAGGTTAAGAATTCCCTGTATCAAGATCCCAAGATGCTGCTGTGTGACAGCAACATGTTGGTATCTTGATATAGGGAATTCTTAACTTGCCTAACCTATGGGGATTTGTCCACTGTAATATTACCTACAACTGCTTCACTTCACCTGTCTACAGTATATAAGCCGCCACTTTGCACATATGCTGTATTTTTAAAGACCGATGGACTGATTGCCTCAAACTCCTAATCTTCACCATTCTTCTTTGTATACGAATGATGAAGCCACTGCATGGCAAAATGTTTCTTCAGTAGAGATACCAAAGTGTTGCACATCTTAATTCATCAACATCTGAGGAAGTTGGGTACTGAGTGTGTGTGAAGTTCAAGGCATCAAATGTTGAACAGAAAAACACTGTAGGCAGGCCTACTGATCCCTCACTAGGTTTATAAATAAAAAGTGGTCTATGAGTGTGGGTAAAGCAAGCTATTTGGGTTAGTGTTCAATGGGTGATGATTCAAGATTCATAAAAATTACAGAATGCAGAGGCATTACTCTATCCCATACCATGAAATGGGAATGAGTGTCACAGTGCTAGATGTAAGCATTTAGGTTGTCAACCCTAAAAGCATCCTTTGGTTTCATGGCATGGTAATCATCCTGAAGTCCTTGGTCTTGGTGACAATTGCTATATCTGTTGGATTTTCTTAGGATGGAGGAAATTACTGGCAGTTATCCTGGTGGGCATTGTGTCCTGGATAGCAGCCCTCTTGTGCATGTCAGCCTTCTATTTACAGTGGAATATTGTGGTGTGGCTAGAGCTCTCACTTCACATGGTAAATGTCCAGGTTCGATTCCCGGCGAGGGTAGAAACATTAGGCGTGTTTCCTTACACCGGTTGTCTATGTTCACCCATCAGTAAAAATGGGTACCTAGGTGTTAGTTGACTGGTGTGGGTCAGTTCCTGGGGACAACACTGACCTAATTTGCCAGAAATGCTCTGCATAACAAGTAGCTTTCTATATAGTAGTATGGCATTGATGTCAGCCAGGCCTGTATACCTTGTACATGTACTTGTAGAAGTAATTATATTATTATTATGTAATATTGTTTTCTTTTGAGCTCTTAATTACTGCTAATTCTGATCACCTGCAAGAACAAGATCACCACACCTTTCTTAATTTGCATATGATGATGTGAGAAGTGTGCAAGTGTCTCCTTATTGGTGGGCTTCACTACCTCTGGATGTTTGCCTCACAAAACAAAGTAACTAATACAGACTATACAGGAAGTCCACTAATAAGGACGGCCTCATACACTTCTTTTCACATATTGGTCATTTAGGATCTACAGTAAATCCTAGCATGCCAAAAATCAGCATCAAGACCATAAGGGACTCAGGAAGACTCCTATAACTAACATGAAACCAAAGGTTGCTTTTGAATCCTCTTCAAGGCAGGATAAATATCAGAGCTGGAACAGGTGCAAGAGATTGTTTATGGCATGCATAGAGCCAATAGAGCATTTAAATTACTGGAAATGCCTGAAAGTCTTAAACATGTACTCAATGGAGCAGAGGAGAGAAAGATACATGATAATATATACTTGAAAAGTTTGGTGGCTTTGTCCTACGTCTGCACACTGCCATAGCATACCGAGAGGTACAGGAGGAAGTGCAGAATAAACCCAATGAAAAGCATGGGTACAGTAAGAAAACTATCAACATCTGTGGCCCCAGACTATTCAACATCTTACCAGAAGATATCAGAAGCTGCTGGGACAAGTGTAGAAATCTTCAAGAGGAAACTGGATAAGTATCTTCTCCAGATCAATCAGGCTGTGATGGATATGTGGGTCATCAGTGGGCCATCAGCAGCAGCAGCCTGGCCCAAGGCTAGACTCTGGGGGCAGGGCAATGGGGTTAGAAAAAGCTCTCTTGACTCGATCAGAGGTACACTGGATGGAGGGAGTATTTGGGTTTACATCGGGGATCTGCCAAGAGTTTTCCAATACAACTGCAGGAACATTAAAATGCCTTCTGGGCACTGTAATGTTCCTGCAGTCTAACAACCCCTGAATCTAACATTGCGACACCCACTCTCATCTCGTGTCGTGGGATAGAGTAAAATTTTTATGTTATGAAAGTAACAAAATTAAATGTAAATATCTTGAATAATCTATCATACTAAAACAACTGAACAAAACAGTTTAATGAGTGCTTTATCCAAACCCATAGATCACAATGTAATAGAACAAACCTAGCATAGGCTGTTAGTCCTGCGACAGTGCTTCTCTGCTCAACCACTCAACATAAAATGCCTCGAACCTCTTACACTCAGCACCTGACTTCCCGGATGCACTGTATAAATTATAAGTTTGTCATGTTTTATGTACTTGACAAACCCAGTTTGTGGAAATGCTGCACAATAAACACCTCTGCTATCATTCTTGCCATCCTGTTGATGCTTGGCCTTTTGTGTAGACCTCAGAAAAACTTTCTGGCAGGAACAAAATCCTGGTGCTGTGAAGGTAGAGGCAAAAAAATGTATTAGTGTTACATGTCAGGCTCAAGCTCAAGTCTAAACCTTTGTTGCCTCAAACAAATGGCTTAAAAGCTTACGTAACCCCAAGTAAAGTCAAGAGGTGTGAATTTACAGATTGATTAAATGTAATGTGTAAAATGCTGAAGTAACAACACACTGTCTCCTTAAATGCCTAAAAAAAAAAAAAAAAAAAAAAAAAAAAAAAAAAAAAATGGTAAACGGAGTGCCTCACATACAGTATACAGAATAATTCTATTTGAGGAGGGCTTCAGTACAAAAGTATATTGTGATTGAAAATTTATGTAATTTAATATAAATGTGAAAATTTACATGAAGGATCTTTATATAAATTTGAATTAAAAAAAAATCCCATTTGATTTAAAGATGTTCCCATTAACTGCTTCATGCTTCAGGTAGTGTAGATCTAAGTTATTAATGCTCCTTTCTAGTCTGATGGGAATCAAGTGAAGATTTAAACACGCTGACGTGATAACTAGAAAATTGGGAAAATCACTTGCATACTTTGCTTTGTTATTGTCTACCACACATTAACCATATTCTTCCATTTTATATGCATATCAGTAACATTTCTGATTTAACTAATAAAAAGTACAAGTGAGTATAATTTGATTTTTTATGCTTGAATCTCCAATACTATACTTCTCTATAGACAGCACATTAAGAGACTACATTGTTATAATACAGTGGTCCCTCAAGTTACAATAATAATCTGTTCCAGAAGACTTATCTTAAAACTATCTTAACTCCAACACCCCCCCCCCCCCCCACACACACACACACAAAAAATGGTTTTATGGTAATTCATCCTAAGACCCTGAAAGTGCAGCTTTTACTGTACTTTGGGCTTGAAGAGTTGGTGGTGAGGATAGAGTGTAAAGGTTACTGGTTCCCCTGCCTCTTGAAGAAAAATGTTAACAGTTGTTTGTTTCTGCCGCTTTCTTCCAAGGCTCTTAAAATAAGATTCTTTTCTTACCTTTCCAATGAGTAAACAACTCATGACTTTCTATAGCTGTTATCCTATGGTCATCTTCCTCTCCACTGTCCTCATCCATCTCTCTTAATTCCTGGAGCTCCTTTTTTTTAACACCTGTCTGTCGTCTTGAATTAACTTCACATCCTCTTCATCAATTTCTAGCTCCATTGCCTCAAGAGTGACAGTCTCCTGGTTTACATCATCCTCAGCCTCAAATCCTTCAGTCATAGGTGACAAAGTCACAAGTTCTTCCAGGCTGCATTGAGGCACTAATTGCAAACTGACTAATGGACAAGACATTTCTTTGGTCCATTCATCGTAGAATTATTTTGTCATCTAGGCCTCCTTGTTGCAATGTGAGAACACTCAACCTTTTGCTTGAAACCTCCAAAGGCATTGGCATTCAACAGCAGAATAAGCTAATCTTTCATAGGCTTATCCCCTCAAGGAAGGTTCCTTGATGTTGGTGAGGGGCTCTTGATTTAGGGAATTGGATCTGTGCTCCAGTTCCCCGAATTAAGCCTGAATGCCTTCCACATCCCCCCCCCCAGGCGCTGTATAATCCTCCGGGTTTAGCGCTTCCCCCTTGATTATAATAATAATAATTTCATAGGCTTATGCCCAGGCAAAGGCACCTCCTTTATGATGAATGTTCGCATGGGTATTCTTTTCCAGAAAAGCCCACATTCCACCCAGGCAGGATAACATTTACCTTGGCTGTCTTTCTAGGACAACATATGCAATACATGCCTGTTAGATGCTTAAGTGTCTTACCATCACATAAGTGTTGATTGATGAACCATCTTGGCAACCCCTCTACTACTGCTGCTGTTTGGAAGGACCTCTAAACTGCCATATCAGAGCGCCTCTGCAAAAACAGTGATTACGTGTGAATGACGGTGAAAGATTTTGGGTCACCCCGCCTCGGTGGGAGACGGCTGAAGTGTAAAAAAAAAAGCTGCGACCTTCTTGGGTTTAGTGCTTAATCTGATTATACATCTCTAACACTGCACTGTCTTAAACTCTTCTGCATAGTAATGTATCCACACAACACTGATTTCGGTCAGTCTCCAGCTGCTACCTCACTGCTATATAGAAATGTCTATGCAAAACACTCACGCAAAAGCTGTTTTGGCACAAGTACACACTGGCTGTATTGCTCATACAGGTTTAGTGAACATTTTTGAATAACTAGTAAATAACCATTATACATTGGTACATTGGGGAAAGCACTAAACTCAAAGGGGTCATACAGCCCCTGGGAAAATGGGAGGCAGTTGGGTTTGCTTCAAGGTAAGGAAGGATAGGTGAAATTTCTCGAGTATTATTATAATCATGGGGGAGTGCTAAACTCGTAGGATTATACAATACAACACCTTTGGGAGGGGGGGATGGAAGGTATTCAGGCTCAATTCAGGGAATGAGCATAGATCCAATTCCCTAGATCAAGAGCCCCTCACCAGCATCAAGGAGCCTCCCTTAAGGGGATTTCTTGAATAGCCTAATGCTTTACCAACATCAAGGAACCTCCCTTGAAGGGGTATCGACTGAAACTTGTTTCCACTCTTATACACTAGTTACCTTCTCTTCCCTATCTATAGGAATTGTACCATCACAAGGGTTCATGTAGCAAAAAAGGTTAAGTTAAAAAAAATTTCCTTACCTTAAATTCTGGTTGCTGATGCATGTTTATCTCAAAATGTGTAGGTGTTGCTGTGGACCTAATGAGCCAAGATGGACTGCTCTCATTCTTGTGGACATCGATGCAGAGCTGTCAGTAGAGGATTGTATTAAAGTCCTTAGGTATTTTGTAATGCATCTCTGCTCAGTTTTATCTTGCACTACTTTATACAGCCAACAATAAGTACTCGAGGACCTTGTCCCAAATCTGCAAAGTGCCATGATGTAATAGTGAGATATGGAAGGAAGTGCAAAATAAACTCAATGAAAAGGAGCACTGTGGGCACAATAAGGAAGCACTGTATTAATGTCCATGGATTCAGACAAGTCAAAATCTTACCAGAAGATGTCAAACACTGCTAAGGCAAGTGCAGAAGTGTTCAAGAGGAAACTTGAAAAGTATCTTCATCAGGTGCCAGATCAAGCAGGCTGTGATGGATATGTGGGTCAGCAGGCCACTAGCAGCAACAGCCTGGTTGACCAGGCAAGCACCAGACGAGCCTGGCCCAAGGCTTTGAGAAGAAAAGTTCTTGGAACTCAAAGGAATAAAGGTATTAATACTTGTTCCAAACCACATCCCAGAGCAATGTTTCTGGTTTTACCAATAGTGTGTGTGTGTGTATATGTATGTATATATGCATATATGCTAGTCTTCCAAAACTGCATAGCTCCTGACAATGCGTGTGTGAAAGATCTTGAGCTAATGATATCCATCCCCATGTGGCTTGTTCTGCATTGTTAAGATCACCTGTTTATGATTGTACTGCAAACACACACACATTTTATTCACATTCATATGCGAGGGAGGGCCCTGCCATAACATCTACACGAGGGTCCCTGACATCAATAACACAGATCTACGCGAGAGACAGTGAAAAGGTTAAAAATTAAATAAAATGAACAGTCTGAATGCTTTTATTGCATATTACTCGTAATAAAATAACCAAGTGAATTACCTGTATGGCATATACATTTGTATGTTTCACTAATCCTGTTAAAAATGGAAACCAAAGTACAATACTAATAGCTGCAGTTCATGAACTTTATATCCTTGTTTTGTCTCGCTTTTTGTATTGCATTCCACAGCCAGTATTTTGATTTGAAAGAAACTGATCATGAAGTGTCAAACATCCACAGTTGTACTAACAATACAAGTTGAACTTAGAAGTCACTGATGATAAGTTCATCTATGCCCCAGTCTTCAAAAGATCCATCTGGCAAATACCGGCGGATGATAATGGGAATTTTCCGTTCTCTCAACTCTTTGGCAGCAATTTGAAGTGGATCCGATTCTGCATCAATTTCCACCATGACAGGAGCACACATTGCAATCTGCAAGGCTCTAGTCCCTAATACTCTGGCTCTTTCATATCTGTTGGAAAAAATGGACAAGGTTCGTTATTTTATATAGAGTACTGTACTTTACCTTAATCAAGTTAGATACCTACCACTATTAACAGCATTATTTATAATCTAAAGTACTGGAAGAGCAAAGAAAAATACTACCTTTGCAAGGTATCACTAATGAAAAACTATGGCTGAGTGAGGAGCTCTTCTGTAAAACTCATTTTGGGCTTTTTGGTAAATTTGAAAGTAATAAATTATTTAAATAAAAATTTATGCTGCATTATAGCAAGTCAATTTATATAACCTGAAGAGGGAAAAAAGCACTATTGTAAAGAGGTTAATAAGATGTGTAAAATCAATACATGCTATGCATTTTTTAACACTATCGGCCATTTCCCACCAAGGCAGGGTGGTCCAATGAAACTCTTTCATCATTACTTCGTCACTGTCTTGCCAGAGGCATGCCAATACTAGTTTAAAAACTGCAACATATCTCCACCCCCTCCTTCAAAGTGCAGGCACTGTACTTCCCACCTCCAGGACTCAAGTCCGCCTAACCGGTTTCCCAAATCCTTTCATAAGTGTTACTTTGCTCACACTCCAACATCACGTCGTCATAAAAACCATTTGCCTCCACTCTCTCCTACCAAACACGCTCTCACACACTTGCTGGAAGTCTAAGCCCCTCACACACAATACCTCCTTTGCCTCCTCCCTCCAACCTTTCCTAGGACAACTCCTATCCGGCCTTCCTTCTACTGCAGATTTATACACCCTTCAAGTCAGTCTAGGTTGCTCCACCCTCAAAATGTTCAAACCACCTCAGCCCTCTGGATAATACTTTTAGTACCCCCCACACCTTATCTCCAAGCTACTGATCCTCTGCATGATATTCACACTACACTGCCCTCAGGAACATCACTGCCTCCAGCCTTTTTCTCGTTGCAACGTTTACCACCCATACTTCACACCTATATAAGAGTGCTGGTACCACTATAATCTCATACATTTCTTTTTGCTGCCATGGATAATGTTGTCTCCACAGACTCCTCACTGCACCACACATCCTGTCTATCTTCATCAATTCTATGGTGTACCTTGTCTTTGAGACCCATGCTATATACAGTACTTTATTCCACATCTACGTTATTATAATTATAATCATGGAGGAGTGCTAAACCCGTAGGATTATACAGCGCATCTGGGGGGGGGGGAATGGAAGGTATTCAGGCTCAATTCAGAAAACTGGAGCACAGATCCAATTCCTTAGATAAAGAGCCCCTCACCAGCATCAAGGAACCTCCCATGAGGGGATCCACATCTACAGCTTTCTTCATTTTAGCATCTGTACTGATGCTTTTACTCATTCTACAAAATTCCCTTCATTCTTTTGTCAATAATTGTTCTACCCTTCCACCCACCAAGATTTTCCTTTTAATCTTTGCCCCCATCTGGTAAATATTGCACATCATTTACAATAATTTGGCTATTAAATTTGTGTCAAGAGCATCCTGGAGCCAGGATTTTCTTGTTGCTTGCCTGGTCAACCAGACTGCAGCTGTTGGAAACCTATTGGCTCATATATCCATCACAAGCTGGTTGATCTGGCATTTGATGGAAACAGTGATAAGTTTACACTTGAAGACTTCTACACTTAATCCAACAGTATCCGATATCCGCTGGCAGCAGATTTAAGTCTTGACCCAAGGATATGGATAAAATGTTCTTATTGTGCCCATGGCACCCATAACCACAACTTAACCCACCTATTCAACCTTGACAGAACATGTACACTTTCATATTGTGGTCAAAATATTCGTCTGACAGTATAAACTTTCATTACGCACATTCTTTGTGTGCAGATTAAAGTAGTATATGTAGTGATGGCTTGCTGATGTGTGCTGACAGATGCCTCAACCTTTGGTCACTAAGCAAACATTCTTTTCAGTCATCAAGCTCTTGCTTCTTCTATAACTAATAAATGTAACTTATTTTTTAAACCTACTTTACCCTCCTCCCATGAAACCCTGCCGAGACAACCCTTCATATGGGCCAGTAGGCCTGTTGCAGTGTTTTTATGTTATTATGTTATTCTCCCCATCACCTTAAATGCCCTAACCACATCAATCCCTCCTGGGTCCTCTGACCTATAACTGGTAAACCTATCTTCTAATTTCTATTGTCTGAATTCTATGCTTAATGTTCAAGCCACACATTGCTCTCAAGCATGACATCACCACTGCCTCCAGTTGCCTCCTTGCTGCAATATTCAAAGCCCATGCCACATACTCATCATACTCTATCTCAATCACAATTTATTGAAAATATAATCCCTGGATGCACAATACAAGACTACTGTATGAATGTGATTCAAGTTGTATTGTGCTACAGCATAAAAAATCTTGCAGATTCTACACCTCACATTCAGGGGATCCAATGTACTATGCAGAACTTATGGCCTAACAGCAAGTACTTAAGGCATTTGTTTAAAAACAAAAAAACAAAAAAAATCGTACTTCGTCATGTAAGGTGTTGTGATGCGCTTCTGTGTAGGCACTGGTTGACCTTCTCCTGCAGGTATCAATTCTGCCTGGTTCTCATCCTCCTAGAAAATATTTAGCCTTACAAATCAAATGAAATGTATGATGTAACAAGAGGAACATGTGCAACAGCTGTTGACACTTATTCTGAAACTTTTCACCTACACAGATGGCTTCTACAGTCAAATTGAGAAGAGGCAGCAAAAGCAGTGCAGATGCTTCTGCTGCCCCCTCAATATTCGACTGAAGAAACCTTACCATGTAAGAGAAACTTTTTTTAACAAAGATACTTAACTGTTGCACACATCTTATCAACTTGTCAGTACTGAATACCATTATTATAGTCACAAGAGGAATGTAGTAAAGAATAACAATGCATTATACAGAATGCTCTGGATAAACATAAGGTGAAGCACTGGCATGTGTAAGATGAAGGATGTGGCAAGAAAAATTAGAAAGCATACCACAGATTATTATAATCATGAGGGAGCGCTAAACCCATAGGATTATACAGCGCACATGGGGGGAAGGTATTTAGGTTCAATTCAGGGAGCCGGAGCACTGATCCAATTCCCTAGATCAAGAGCCCCTCACCAGTGTCAAGGAACCTCCCTTAGAAAGTATAGTTACACAGGATTACTGTGTTAGACAAGGAGATGCATTGGAGGAAAGAATATGTTTAGAGTAGCCATCTGGTCATTATTATTACACTGATGCTGGTAAAGGGTCCTGATCAAAGGAGATGAAACAGAACTCAACTTTCTTAAATCAAACCTGATTACTCCTCCCCACCCCCTCCAGGCTTCCCCATAATTTTATTATTCATTTTTGGAGTGCTAAACCTGTAGGGGGGTCATACAACAGGGTAGTTCCAAGTGTTTGGATTAACAGCCCTTCACTGGCAACAATACACAGGCATCACAATTAAGATAATATCTAATATTATTTATGTCGATCTCCTAAACCTTTATAAAACTATGCAAATAAAAGGACTTAAAAAATATAGAAGACAAGTGAATACAGACAGCAGGTAAGGTGACTTATGCATATAAGTATTTCTGTGCTTGCTTTACTTTTTTTTTCAAAAGTTATACAGTACGTATATGCAATAAATACCATTTTTATTAGTCAAAAATTTCCAACTGATGGTAACAGATTTTAGCTGCCAAAAATGTATTTTTGCTAAACCTGTGTAAATATTATACATATTGTATAGACAAAGTTGTTATAAAGCTCCAATGTAGGGCGCTTCTTTGAAAAAATGATTATAAGAAAGTGCATCCAAAATTAAATACCACATGCTATGAAGGCCACTCTGTTTGCTATTCAATTTTTTATGTATACTATTTTAATTGCATTTACAAACTGCACTATATAGCAGAGCTTTACAAGAGTTTATACCCGTTAAGCACTATCTGCTAATTCAAATTTTGTGCACTTTTCATGGAAATCATATTGTAGATACAGTATCTATATACATTTCAAGTTGCACCACAGTATTAAACTGCTCATTATAACAAACCTAAACTTTTTAAAAACAGTCAGGCAGGCAAAATTTATCATAAATAGCAAGAGTCTTATCTATGAACATTTAAGAAGGAACAGCAAGAATGGTAGATCAAGTGCTCCAAGTTGATCACAACCCACATAGTTCTTTATCCCAGGTACTTTATTCATAAGAACATAAGAACATAAGAACGAAGGAACACTGCAGAAGGCCTACTGGCCCATGCGAGGCAGGTCCAAGTCCCTACCGGCTTAAGCCAATGCACCCAACCTAGTCAGGTCAGGTCACATTGAGTTAAGGGAGGAACACGGCAACCGACCTGTTAGCACAAGCTATCAGGTCTAACTCACACCCACCCACATCTACTCATGTATTTATCCAACCTATTTTTAAAGCTACACAACGTTCTGGCCTCTATAACGGTACTTGGGAGTTTGTTCCACTCATCCACAACTCTATTACCAAACCAGTACTTTCCTATATCCCTCCTGAATCTGAATTTTTCCAACTTAAAACCATTGCTGCGAGTCCTGTCTAGGCTAGATATTTTCAGCACACTATTTACATCCCCTTTATTTATTCCTGTCTTCCACTTATAAACCTCAATCATATCCCCCCTGATTCTACGTCTTTCTAGAGAGTGCAGTTTCAGGGCCCTTAGTCTATCCTCATAGGGAAGGTTTCTGATACATGGGATCATCTTTGTCATCCTCCTTTGTACATTTTCCAGAGAATTTATATCCATTCTGTAATACGGTGACCAAAACTGTGCAGCATAATCTAAATGAGGCCTAACCAAGGATGTATAGAGTTGAAGAACAACCTGAGGACTCCTATTATTTATGCTTCTTGATATGAAGCCAAGGATTCTATTAGCTTTATTGCGAACACTTATGCACTGTTGTCTTGGTTTCAGATTACTGCTAACCAGAACTCCTAAATCTTTTTCGCAATCCGTAATATTAAGATCTACATTATTTAGTTTATATGTGGCATGGTTATTGTCCTGTCCAACATTTAGAACTTTGCATTTGTCTATATTAAACTGCATCTGCCACTTCTCCGACCACTGCATCAGTCTATTCAAATCTTCCTGGAGTGCTCGAATGTCCTCGTCAGAATGAATTCGACGGCCTATTTTGGTGTCATCGGCAAACTTGCCGATGTCGCTCTTTATGCCCTCATCTATGTCGTTTATGTAGATTGTGAACAGCAGGGGGCCCAACACTGACCCCTGTGGAACACCGCTCGTGACGCTTCCCCACTCTGATTTCTCCCCATTTATGCAAACTCTCTGCTGCCTATTTGTCAACCATGCCTCTATCCAGGAAAAAAGTTCTCCTCCTATTCCATGTGCTTTAATTTTCCTCAATAGTCTCTGATGTGGGACCCTGTCAAAAGCCTTACTGAAGTCCATATACACAATATCATATTCATTACCATGATCTACCTCCTCAAATACCTTAGTGAAAAAAGTTAATAAATTCGTAAGGCAGGAACGCCCCTTTGTAAAACCATGCTGAGATTCGTTGATTAATTTATGCTTTTCAAGGTGGCTACGAACTGCCTCGGCAATTATTGATTCCATAAATTTTCCCACTATGGAGGTTAGGCTTATTGGTCTATAGTTCGAAGCTAAGGACCTGTCACCTGTTTTGAAAATAGGTATCACATTTGCCATTTTCCACTTATCTGGCACCATGCCAGTTTGTAGTGATATGTTGAAAAGATTAGCCAAAGGTGTGCTAAGCTCCTCTTTACATTCCTTTAGAACCCTTGCATACAGTTCATCAGGGCCTGGGGATTTGTTAGGTTTTAATTTATCTATTTGCCTAAGGACCATGTCACTTGTGACCCTAATCGTGCACAGTTTATTATCGTCCTGTTCTACATAATTTATCATTACTGGAATATCGCTGGTATCCTCCTGTGTAAAAACTGAGAGGAAGTATGTGTTAAAAATTCTACACATTTCCTTATCACTGTCAGTGAGCTGACCCGAGGAACTTTTGAGTGGGCCTATCTTGTCCCTGATCTTACTTCTGTATACCTGAAAGAATCCTTTTGGGTTAGTCTTCGATTCTCTTGCAACTTTAACCTCATAATCTCTTTTTGCTTTTCTAATTCCCTTTTTTATTTCTCTCTAACTGAATATATCGATTTCTTAATTGCCCCTCTCCTCTTTTGATTTGCCTATATATGCCTCTCTTTTGACCAATCAGATATTTTAATCTATTGTTCATCCATTTAGGATCATTTTTGTTTGATCTGATTTCTCTATTTGGAACATAATTTGACTGAGCAGCTAGAACTATGCCCTGGAAAGCATCATATCGGCAACCATCACCACCTACCTGACCCCTAGTCAGGTCATTCCAGTTCAGCCCACCTAAGTAATTTTTCAGTCCTATGAAATCAGCCAAGCGAAAGTCAGGGACGGAGACTTGATTGCCATTATTAGGGGAATTCCATGATATGTTAAAACTGAGTGATTTGTGATCACTCTCCCCAAGCTCATCATTAACCTCAAGATTATTAATTAGTGTTTCCCTACTGGCAAGAACCAAGTCAAGGAGGTTATTTCCCCTAGTTGGCTCTGTCACAAACTGTTTTAAAAAACAATCCTGGATCGTATCAAGAAAGTCACCCGACTCTAAATTTCCTGTCAAATTGCTCCAGTCAATCTGTCTATAGTTGAAATCTCCCATTAGCACAACATTTTCGTATGTAGATGCCTTACGAATTTCGTCCCATAGAAGTTTACTGCACTCCCTATCAAGATTTGGGGCCCTGTAAATCACACCCAAAATTAGTTTTTCTCGGCCCTCGAGAAGCTGTAACCAAACAGATTCAGTGGCTGACGCTTCTAATTTAATATCTTCAAGAGAGTTCTTCGAGTTCTAATGACCAGAGCTTTGGTAAGATGGGTAAGGAAGAAGGATGGGTAAGGATGGAAATATTGGAAAAGGGTTGGAGGGGGGGGAGAAAGGTAGGATATAAAAGGTAAGTGGCCCAACCACTTTGGTGTAATTTAAAAAGTGTATGTGAATTGATAAGATATTCTTTAAGGGGTATAATACTAACCCATCAGAGTCACATAGATATAATAGGTATATAAGTACATGACTCTGAATTGGTAGTAGTTATACAAGTTGCAATTGCTTTTTTTTTTTTTTTTTTTTTCGCGATTGCACAACGGATATTTATACGACAAGAAAGGCAATAATTTTCTGGCCAGTTTATAAGTTCGTGACAATAGCTTCTTAATGGTGGTGTCCAACAATAGTCAATAGCATAATTTTACATTAGAAAGTTATTTAAGATGTCTCCCTAATTGGGGGCGATGATTTTCTCAGTATACATAGAAGGGTTCTGGTGGTATCCAATCTTCTTCATCAGGTAAGTTGCTCAAAATCATGGGTCGAGGGTAATCATCTTTATGAATAAAACGACGAACCCTCTGTGGGAGAGTCATTCTTTGAGTCCTGTGAGGCGGAGTATTGATGGTGTAATCGGTGGTATTTATCACTTGTATAGGATGTTCTCTATCTGGCATGTATAGTTCTTGCATTGTATAAAGTTGTTTCTTTCTTAGGGTGTCAAGGCGTACATTTATGGCAGTAATATCTTGTTGTGTGTGTAAATCTGCCATTTTAACTCTGTCTCTCCTCCTGGTATCGGTAATAAAGCGAAGAGCTCTATTCTGGACCCTTTGTAACCGTAGCATGTTGGTCTTTGTTGTTAATGACATTGGGACACAAGGGTATTCAAGTATAGGTCTTATTATCATTTTATACAGATGTTTTTTGACATGTTGAGGGGCTTGATTGAATCGAAAGAGTCTGCTAAGACCGGCTTTGGCTGTGTTGATCTTTTTAGTTACACGAGATGTTGAGTGGAGCAGCCTGTCTATTTCATATCCCAAGATCTTGTTAGGGTTTCTAATGGCTACAGGTGTACCTCTGATGGAGATACCCCCTTTATCTTCGATGGTTGATGCAAAACATCCTATCGTGCTAACAAGGACCTTGTCAGGATTAGTCGTAATTCTCCATTTCTTCTCCCAATTAGATGTTCGACGAGTTCAATATTCATTTTTTCTATGACTCTCTCATACTTGTATTTTCCTGTTACTGGAGTTGATGAGACGACATGAATAACATCATCTGCAAACTGTGTCACAATTGTGTCATTAAACTCTGGTTGAGGAAGGTCATTCACATAAATGTTAAACAGAAGTGGACTGAGACAAGAACCTTGTGGGACACCAGCCGTCGGTATAAAAGGTTCTGTCGACTTGCCATGAAAGGTGGGAATGATTTTTCTTTGAGTTAAGAAATTATAAATTACTCTGAGAAAAGTCCAGTTATGGTCTGGTAGGTCAATGAGTTTGTATATAAGGCCATCATGCCATAAGCTATCAAAAGCTTTATGAACATCTCTGGTGGCAATTAAGGCAAGATTGCCCTGCTGTTTTAGACTTGCTACAGTGTCAAAAATAACATTTATTGCATAATTGGTACCTCTGTGTTCTAAAGCCAAATTGTTTTTCAGTAAACAAGTGATTAAACTCCAAGAGAGTACATAAATAAAAATTAAAAGAACCATAAAAACATGGGCAACACAAACTTACCTCTCCTTCTTGCAAGTCGTCAATGTTTTCATCTTCTTCTACCTCGTCGAAGTCATCAGCAACACTAAGATAAAAATAAATGATAAAATTGTAACAAAATTTTGTATTCAGTTTTAAGCTAATTATACAGGTAATAGTAAGTACAGGTAGCCCTCCACTTTAATGAGCTTCAAACATTCGCGAATGTCTAGCCGAATGCCCCTGCGGGAAAAAAGTATGGGAAAACACTTCCTGCCACATCCCTACTACCCTCCCTCTTACCTCCTCAACAATGTTTTCATGCGTTTCACGATTGTTCGTGGTTCAGTAGGTTAAGAAAACAGTATTGTTAGCCTAAATAAATGCTATTATTATATTTCCCTACAACATATTTGCGTATCAAAACATTCACGAATGCTACAGTACAGTATTATTATATTTCCCTACATATCTACGCAACAAACATTCGCGAATTTTCAAGATTCGCGAGGTTCTTGATCCCCTAACCATCACGAATGTACAGGGCCTCCTGTATAGCCTCTCCTCACTTAGTGACATACTCGTTTACCAATGCCCTGGACTTACGACGGGCTCTCTGACCAGTATGCATATCTAAATAATGTATATTAGAAATGATTTCCTCTATTCTGTTATTACAATATATAGTACACTACTGTATAAACATTTAGAAATATACCAGAAATGTTATAAATGGTGCAAAGGTAACATTAAAACAATATCAAAGATGGTCGACACAAACCCACTACCATTATAGTATGCTCCTCACTTAACGAAAATTCATTTACCGATGTGGTCCTAGGAACAGAACTCTATCGTTAAGTGAGGAGAGGCTGTACAGTGGACCCCCGGTTAACGATATTTTTTCACTCCAGAAGTATGTTCAGGTGCCAGTACTGACCGAATTTGTTCCCATAAGAAATATTGTGAAGTAGATTAGTCCATTTCAGACCCCCAAACATACACGTACAAACGCACTTACATAAATACACTTACATAATTGGTCGCATTCGGAGGTAATCGTTATGCGGGGGTCCACTGTATATGGTAATCAAGTAATAGCTGATAGGCTGTATATGGTAATCAAGTAACAGCTGATAGGCTGTATATGGTAATCAAGTAATAGCTGATAGGCTGTACAGCGGACCCCCGCATAACGATTACCTCCGAATGCGACCAATTATGTAAGTGTATTTATGTAAGTGCGTTTGTACGTGTATGTTTGGGGGTCTGAAATGGACTAATCTACTTCACAATATTCCTTATGGGAACAAATTCGGTCAGTACTGGCACCTGAACATACTTCTGGAGTGAAAAAATATCGTTAACCGGGGGTCCACTGTATATGGTAATCAAGTAATAGCTGATAGGCTGTATATAGTAATCAAGTAATAGTTGCTCCTCAACTTACAGTGGAGTTGTTTTTATGAACCCCTCATAAGTTGAATATGAATACATAACTACTGTCACTGAATATTTTTTTATCACACTGACCTTTTCCCACCAAGGCAGGATGGCCTGAAAACAAAAAACTTTCACCATCATTCACTCCATCACTGTCTTCCCAGAAGGGTGCTTTACACTACAGTTTTTAAACTGCAACATTAACACCCCTCCTTCAGAGTGCAGGCACTGTACTTCCCATCTCCAGGACTCCTGTCGGCCTGCCGGTTTCCCTGAACCCCTTCATAAATGTTACTTTGCTCACACTCCAACAGCACGTCAAGTATTAAAAACCATTCGTCTCCATTCACTCCTATCAAACACGCTCACGCATGCCTGCTGGAAGTCCAAGCCCCTCGCACACAAAACCTCCTTTACCCCCTCCCTCCAACCTTTCCTAGGCCGACCCCTACCCCGCCTTCCTTCCACTACAGACTGATACACTCTTGAAGTCACTGTTTCGCTCCATTCTCTCTGAATATGTAAATAATTATTTCAACTAAATACACCAGTATTGAAAAGTAAATAAATGAATACAAGTTTATCCTCTCCAAGTTTGATGACTACTAAATGTGCATCGTTATCGCACCATCGTAAAATTGAAATATCATATACTGTTATAAACAATATGCCCATGGCAGTGATCATGTCTTACGTTCTTATGTTCTCTAATTCATAACCACTTCATTACAAAGTATACAATAATTACAAAGCCCATAGGATGCACAGCATTTTGGGCAAGCATAGCTTAACTTTACTCTGCCATCAGTTCTGGCAGTCTTGGCATTTATTTGGCTGGTACATGACACTTCTTGACACTAGGCATTTATTAATTCTTATGTGTTGTACAATGACAAATACAGTGGACCCTCGAATTTAGTAGTGCCTTTTCTGTATGCAAAACTATTTTTATTATCTATAAAATGTATGTTTTGTTAATATTTCCCATAGGAAATAATGTAAATCCAATTAAACCATTCAAGACACCCAAAAATATTAACAAACAATACATTTTATAGATAATAAAAATAGTTTTGCATACAGAAAAGGCACTACTAAATTCGAGGGTCGACGTGCACAATAACTATATAAATAAATGTGAAAATGACACTTACCTTTATTGAAGAGTACTGATGAGACTTTTTCTTGAACACACTGGGATTTTCACAGTGATACATGAGTAAAGGCTTCACTTTGCAATCCCCACTAGCATTACAACAAAACAAGAAAGTTAGCCTGTCTTTCATAGGCTTGTGTCCTGGGAGTGCCTTTTCCTCCTGAGTAATGTAGGTCCTGTTTGGCATTTTCTTCCAGAACAGGCCTGTTTCGTCACAATTGAACACTTGTTGGGGTTGGAATTTTTCAGCTTCGCCATGCCTTATCACACTGTGTATGCCACTACGATTCTTAAATCTCTCAAACCATCCTTTGCTGGCCTTAAATTCACCAATATGAACACTAGTTCCAGGCATTTTTTCCTGTTCACCTGGGTGTTAGTCAACTGGTGTGGGTCGCATCCTGGGGGACAAGATCAAGGACCCCAATGAAAATAAGTTAGACAGTCCTTGATGACTCATTGACTTTCTTGGGTTATCCTAGGTGGCTAACCCTCTGGGGCTAATCGTTTCTCGGTAACTGTTTCTCGTTAAGCCACACCAACAACAGTCTCTCCACATCTTCAAGTAGTACAGCCGACGGTGGTGCAGCAGCAGCCGACGGTGGTGCAGCAGCAGCCGACGGTGGTGCAGCAGCAGCCGACGGTGGTGCAGCAGCAGCCGACGGTGGTGCAGCAGCAGCCGACGGTGGTGCAGCAGCAGCCGACGGTGGTGCAGCAGCAGCCGACGGTGGTGCAGCAGCAGCCGACGGTGGTGCAGCAGCAGCCGACGGTGGTGCAGCAGCAGCCGACGGTGGTGCAGCAGCAGCCGACGGTGGTGCAGCAGCAGCCGACGGTGGTGCAGCAGCAGCCGACGGTGGTGCAGCAGCAGCCGACGGTGGTACAATAGTATTTTGATAGTACAGTGGACCCCCGCATAACGATGGCATCACATAGCGATTATTTCGCATACCGCTTACTTTAATTGCAAAAATTTTGCCTCGCATACCGCTTAAAAACCCGCTTACCGATTTTCGTCCGAGACGCTTCCAATGTGCGGCCTGAGCCACGCTCACATGTTCCGCCGGTGGCATTGTTTACCAGCCAGCCTCCGCAATAACATCCAAGCATACAATCGGAATATTTCGTATTATTACAGTGTTTTCGGTGCTGTTTCTGGAAAATAAGTGACCATGGGCCCCAAGAAAGCTTCTAGTGCCAACCCTGTGGTAAAAAGGGTGAGAATTAGTATGGAAATTAAGAAAGATTTTGAAGGGTTTGGGGCTAACCCTGAGAAGCCTATGCCAGTTGTGGAATCCATTGTGCCTACTTCAAAAATTAAGGAAATGTGTGCACAGTGGGTTGAACTGCAAACCTTTATGGATGAAAATCACCCTGACACAGCTGTTGCAAGCCGTGCTGGTGACTATTTCAATGACAATGTTGTGGCCCATTTTAGACAAATCGTAAAGGAACGGGAGGTACAGAGCTCTATGGACAGATTTGTTGTGCGACAGAGGTCCAGTGACTCTCAAGCTGGTCCTAGTGGCATTAAAAGAAGAAGGGAAGTAACCCCGGAAAAGGACTTGCTACCTCAAGTCCTAATGGAAGGGGATTCCCCTTCTAAACAGTAAGAAGATAATGCTCTCCCCTCCTCCCATCCCATCAATCATCACCAGATCTTCAATAAAAGTAAGTGTCATGTAAGTGTGCATGCCTTTTTCAGTTTGTGTGTATTAAAATTAACATTTCATGTGGTAAAAAAAATTTTTTTTCATACTTTTGGGTGTCTTGCACGGATTAATTTTATTTCCATTATTTCTTATGGGGAAAATTCATTCACATAACGATTATTTCGCATAACGATTACCCCTCTTGCACGGATTAAAATCGTTAACCGGGGGTCCACTGTATTTCTCACCCTTTTTACCACAGGATTGGAACTAGAAGCTTTCTTTGGGCTTATTTAGCAGTTACAAGCACTATAAACAATGGAATAATACAAAATGTATTGACTGTATGCATGAAACTGGCCACCCTGGCTTGTAAACAAAGACGGCAGGGCAGCTGAGGCGCTCAGGTTGGAAGGACAGGTTTGGGATGAATCACACTGGGCGAGTTTTTTTATCATTAGCAAGGCCAAAATTTTTACGCTCAAGCGCTTTGTTGGGCGGATTTAACATTATGCGATGCATTCGTTAGCCGAGGGTCCACTGTACAGTGGACCCCCGGTATTCGATATTAATCCGTTCCTGAGAGCTCATCGAATACCAATAACATTGAAAACCGAATCAATTTTCCTCATAAGAAATAATGGAAATCAAATTAATCCATGCAAGACACCCAAAAGTATGAAAAAAAAAATTTTACTACATGAAATATTAAGTTTAATGCAATAGAATAATTACAATAACAATAAAATAATTGGCACTTACCTTTAATGAAGATCTGGTGATGATTGATGGGATGGGAGGAGGGGAGAGGTGTTAGTGTTTCGAAGGGGAATCCCCTTCCATTAGGACTTGAGGTAGCAAGTCCTTTTCCAGGGTTACTTCCCTTCTTCTTTTAATGCCACTAGGACCAGCTTGAGAGTCATTGGACTTCTGTCGCACAACATAACTGGCAGCCTCACCATGCCTAATCACACTATGTATGCCACTACGATTCTTAAATCTTTCAAACCAACCTTTGCTGGCCTTAAATTCACTCACATCACCACTAGTTGCAGGCAATTTCTTTACCAAATCGTCATGCAACTGCCTAGCCTTTTCACAAATGAACGCTTGAGAGATGCTATCTCCTGCTGTTTTTCATTTATCCACACCAGTAACAATCTCTCAACATTTTCTGACACTTGCGGTCGCTGTTTCGTAATCACAGTTGCACCTTTTGCAAGAACAGCTTCCTTGATTGCCGTTTTCCTGGTCACTATAGTAGAGATGGTTGATTGGGGCTTATTATACAACCTGACCAGCTCCGACACACGCACTCCACTTTCGTACTTTGCAATTATCTCTTTCTTCATTTCATAAGTCATTAGCGACTTTTTTCTCAAAGGGTTGGCACTAGAAGCTTTCTTGGGGCCCATGGTGACTTATTTTGCAGAAACAAGCACCAAACACAGTGATAATATGGATAATATGGAATGTATCCTTAGATGCGCGCACACTGGCTGGCTTGTAAACACTAGCACACACGGAGCAGTTCAGGCCACACGTGGACAGGTCTCGTATGAATCGTATCGAATACCGAGGAAAAATTTTTGCGTTAAAATGCATCGAAAACCGGATTTATCGAATACCGATGCCATTGAATACCGGGGGTCCACTGTACTTAAAAAGGGGAGCACTGTAAGGGAGCTAGGTGCCCACAGAGGGTAAGAGCAAGAACGCAGAGGGGGGAAATAATAAAAAAAATAAATAATGAAGGAACAAAAAAACTAGGCAGAAGAAAGACAACCCAGAGGAGAAAAAGGAAAGGGGAAGAGGGAGAAGAAAAAGGAGGAATCAGGTTAGGTCACGGGTGTTCTGAAGTTTGGAGTATTTTACAATGTAGTGGGAAAGGAAGGCATCTACAGAGACGAAGCCAGGACCAAGATTCATACAAGGAAAGTTGTGTATTAGGGAGGATTCACCCAGACGGCAACTGCTGAAGTTGGAAGTAGGGAAGTCAGTTTTAGCAGAAGACCAGTCAATAGGATGGCTGTGATTTTTTTTTATTATTCCCCCCCCCCTCTGTGTTCTTGCTCTTACCCTCTGTGGGCACCTAGCTCCCTTGCAGTGCTCCCCTTTCTTAGTATCTGACTGGCTCCTCCTCCTCCTTACTTCCCCACAACTACTTCCTTCCACCTCCACTACTACTACCACCACCACCACCATTTCCTGCCTATATATACCCTGCTCTACTTCTCATTAGTGTGGCCTTGTAAATGGTCCAAGTCAGGCTGAGACGTCGTTGTAAGCGCCTCTTCTATGTGCGGGTTATTTGTGTATACACACATTGTATAAACTTTTGCCCAAGTTCCACCAAATAGTAGTCAATCAGCGCTTAGTCTAGTAACCAATCACAGTGAATTTCAACAGACCGATGGTGGAGTAAGGTTAAATTACACTAGGTTATAGCAATAACTATTTCTACAAGTACACGATACAGCTGATACATTATAATCAAAACCAAGTACTAAACCCACAGGTCATACAGTGCTGCTACAGACATAGTTGACATTGATATACTATACAGAAAGCTCCTGGTTATGCAAAGCATTTCAGGCAACTTAGGTTTATCTTGTCCTCCACAACAGTTGTCTAACACCCAGGTACCTACTTATTGCTATGTGAATGGACAGCAGGTGTAAGGAAACATGTACAACATTTCCACCCATGACAGGATTGATCCCAGAATCTCAGTGTGTGAGCTGAGAATACTACCAACAAAGCCATGAGCACCCACGGTGGCCCATGGCCTGGTAGGCAATGCTCTTGCTTCAGACTGAGTGTCCATGGTTCAATCCCCAGCAAGGGTGGAAACACTGGAAATGTTTCCTTACACTTTTGATATATCTTTGAAGAGTTTCGAGAGTTTCACTACTCTCAGAGCCCGGCCATGGGCCAGGCTCGTTCACCTATTGTCCCCATTCACCTAGCAAGCAAACAGGTACCTGGTTGTTAGTCGACTGTTGTGGGTTGCATCCTGGGGGGACAAGATTTAAGGACCACAATGGAAATAACTGTCCTAGATGATGTACTGCCTTTCTTGGGTTATCCCGGGTGGCTAACCCTCCAGGGTTAAAAATCCAAACAAAATCTCATCAAATCATACCCAGGAAGAACTTGATTGCGGAAGGTTACATGTTGGCTAAGTTTCCTACAATTTGCACATAATACTATCTCTAATGTACATTATAATACAAAAGCGCTAAACCTACAAGAGTTACACAGTGGTCGCTAATGCACAAGACACTCAACATTGCATAATTTAAAAGATTTTGTCAACGAAGTCCACTGAGGAGCAACATTTAACCAATACCCATTTTTTTTGTATTACCCCAATGGAAATAAGTCAAGACTTTTTTTGTGTTATCCTAGGTAATTTACACTTTACTTTGCATTATAACTGTACTCATGTGTACCTGTGCTTAAATAAACTTACGTATGCAAATTATTATTGTTATAATCAAGAGAGAAGCGCTAAACCAATAGGATTATACAGCACCTGGGGGGGGGGGGAATGTGGAAGGTAGACAGGCTTAATTCACGGAACTGGAGCACAGTTCCAATTCCCTGGATCAAGAACCCCTCACCCTTCCTTGACGGGTACATATGCAAAGCTGAAATAAAAGTTACTCAAGTGGAAGTAATAACTTACTCATCACCATCAAACTCTTCATCAGCCATGATGATGTAGTGTTGTAGTGTGGTGGTCTGGCTGGTCCTGGACCTGATGTGTCAGTTATGATGGTCTGGCTGGTCCTGGACCTGATGTGTCGCAGTTATGATGGTCTGGCTGGTCCTGGACCTGATGTGTCACAGTTATGATGGTCTGGCTGGTCCTGGACCTGATGTGTCACAGTTATGATGGTCTGGCTGGTCCTGGACCTGATGTGTCGCAGTTACGATGGTCTGAAGGACCGTGGTCTTGCACCTCGTGTGTGTGTGTGTGACTGATCAACACATCTCTCACTGCTGGCCACTTGTCAGTATTATCCTCTCACATAGTAAACGACCTCGGACCTTCGAAAATATTCCCCTTAAATAATTGATTTGATTTTTATCTACACGAGGAACCGTGTGCTTGGAAATATTACGTTATTTTTATCAATATTTTAGGGGCAATGTTTACTGGAAGGCCACCTCGTTCATTTCCCTGCCACTGACCTTAACTTCGCCTATTTTACCCTTCAAAATTTAAACAACTGCTTAATTAAAATCTTCTAGTAATATTCATTATCATGTTTACGGGTATAGGAATTAAAACTGAAGGCTTATTTTTTTTTCTGAACGAGTAAAATTGGCAGGTAAATTAGAGTGTAGCCTGAAGGAACTATTAGGAGGAGTTCCCCCACCTGGACTGTTGCACTTGACTGACCAACAGGACCAAACAGTCACCTGTGACAGTTAACGGTGTAAACGGTAGTTACGGCTCATATTAACTTATTAAACACCTAATACCGTGTTTATACAAGTGTAAGTTGTTGGGTGTGTGGGGGGGAAGAGTGCCTGCGAGTGTGTATTGAGTGTTCTCACTCTAGCTCTTAGTAAACCCAGGATAACCCAGAGTTAGTAAACCCAGGATAACCCAGAGTTAGTAAACCCAGGATAACCCAGAGTTAGTAAACCCAGGATAACCCAGAGTTAGTAAACCCAGGATAACCCAGAGTTAGTAAACCCAGGATAACCCAGAGTTAGTAAACCCAGGATAACCCAGAGTAAACTCAGGACAACCCAGACAGTAAACCCAGGATAACCCAGACAATAAACCCAAGATAACCCAGAGTTTGTAAACCCAAGATAACCCAGACAGTAAACCCAGGACAACCCAGACAGTAAACCCAGGATAACCCAGACAATAAACCCAGATTGAACATTAAAATGGTATAAAATACCGACAGGTTGTTAGGTAAGACACATATGCAACAGTTAGGTATCTTTATTTCGAAACGTTTCGAACTATGAAACAATGCTCTTCTCCAGACTGAGGGACTGACCACTTCAAAACTTTAAGGGTGATGGACTGATTACATCGTCTTCAAGTCTCTTCTGCTTCTATCAACTTTTCTGTACTCGACTGAAGAAGCCTACTGTGTAGGCGAAACGTTTCGAAATAAAGATACCTAACTGTTGCATGTGTCTTACCTAACAATAAACCCAGAGTTTGTAAACCCAGGATAACCCAGACAGTAAACCCAGGATAACCCAGACAGTAAACCCAGGATAACCCAGACAGTAAACCCAGGATAACCCAGAGTTAGTAAACCCAAGATAACCCAGAGTTCGTAAACCCAAGATAACCCAGAGTTCGTAAACCCAAGATAACCCAGAGTTCGTAAACCCAAGATAACCCAGAGTTCGTAAACCCAAGATAACCCAGAGTTATTAAACCCAAGATAACCCAGGGAGTAAACCTAGGATAACCCAGAGTTAGTTAACCCAGAATAACATAAATCTATAGCAAAATTTATGCAGGCTAATTCTGTATTTTTTCATACATATGTTACTTCCTAGAGTTTACCTGGAGAGGGTTTCAGGGGTCAACGCCCCCATGGCTCGGTCTGAGACCAGGTCTCATGGTGGATCAGGGTCTGATCAACCAGGCTGTTACTGCTGGTCGCATGCAAGCTGATGTACGAACCACAGCCCGGTTGGTCAGGTACTGACTTTAGGTGCCTGTCCAGTGCCTTCTTAAAGACAGCCAGGGGTCTATTGGTAATCCCCCTTATGTATGCTGGGAGGCAATTGAACAGTCTTGGGCCCCGGACACTTATTGTGTTGTCTCTCAGTGTACTCGTGGCGCCCCTGCTGTTCATCGGGGGAATGTTGCATCTCCTGCCGAGTCTTTTGCTTTCATATGGAGTGATTTTCGCGTGCAGGTTTGGTACCAATCCCTCCAGGACCTTCCAAGTGTATATTATCATGTATCTCTCTCTATGTATGATAATTTGTGTAACTATTTGTGTCTACCTCTACCTAAATAAACTTATTTACTGGCATGACCCTTGTGAATTAGTAGGGAAGACTACCTTATTTATTTTTCCCAAATATACCACACCAAGCCTAAAGAGTAGTATATACTTAGTAGACTACATATGTTTTTTACACAAAAATTATTTTCAATAATTGCTAGAAATGCTGCACATACTATACATTACTATATACATAATTTATTATTTCAAATTACTGTACTGCATACACAAAACAAAATAATCTGAAGGCCAATACGATGCACAGCATTTTGGCAAAGCATTACAGAATTTGGGTTTCCCGCAAAATCTTTATCATTTGTATATATCCACCCCTCAAGGGAGGTTCCTTGATGCTGGTGAGGGGCTCTTGATCTAGGGAATTGGATCTGTGCTCCAGTTCCCTGAACTGAGCCTGAATGCCTTCCATCCCCCCACATACGCTGTATAATCCTATGGGTTTAATGCTCCCCCATGATTTTAATAATTGTATGTATCCTTTTTGTGAGAATAAAATGATCATTATTATTATCATTATCATTATTATTATTATTATTATTATTATTATTATTATTATTATTATTATTATTATTATTTCAGGCAAAATGGCCAAGATTATATCTCAGGGAACATTTGACAGTGTTGTCTTAGAGAATGTAAGAGAGTTTGATATGCCTCTTGAAGAAGCCATAAATGATGCTGTAAAAGAATTTGAATCTCAGGTAAGATTTAATTTTCATACTACTTATTGTATTGTTTTATAGAATATTGTACAGTACAATGGTTGTAATAAGTGATAGTTTCAGGAATATTTTGGTAGTAAATTATGTAGATTTAGCCTAGTGTAGCTCACAAAAATGAGTGTAACTTCTAGATTTTCAGTGCATTTTGCCCTTGATGCTCTACTCACTACATTTCATTTTTCAATAGAGTAAGCCCCTCAGTATAATAGGCTAATAAGGGGGGATTCTCTAAGTACCCATTAAATGAGAATAATGTTAAAAATTGGAGTAAAAACATTAAAGTCCTCCAGTGTATATCCAGTATAGTGCTGTGTACACAATTTATAGATATACAGTTTACTACAATAAACACTGAAATAGAAAGTTAAAAGAACAATTTACCCAGAGGATCTTTTCTATTATTTCAGCACTCCATTATATTGAGGGCCACTTTATCTAGGATTTACTTTGATAAATATTAATGTTATGTCAGTGGGAGATGGCCTGCGTGTTAAAAAATTAATGCTACTTTGTGTATGAACTAGATTATATGCCTTTTTAAACTTACCACTAGTCATGGCATTTACATCTTTTTTTCATAAATAAATGGTTCATTATTCTATTGACATTTATTATTATATAACCAAATATTTTTGAAAATTTCTGTCCATATTGATATACAGTGGAACCTCGGTTTTCGTATGCCCTAATTGGAAAAAATTCTTGGAGAAAATTTGCCATAGCATGTATTTTTTGTTAACATTTTTGGGTGTATGGAATGGATTAATTGGTTCCATTCCAGACACCCAAAAATATTAACAAATAATACATTTTATAGAGAATTTTCTCCAAGAATTTTTTCCAACTTGGGCATATGAAAACCCAGGTTCCACTGTACTATGAAGTTTTAGAAGTTTTTTTTTCTTATAATTTTGCAGAATAATCTATTATTGGCATTTATATGAATGACTTGTATACAGGATTAATACAGCAATTTTGTGTCTGATATTATTATTACACTAAGTTTATGAGGAGAGCGCTGAACCCATAGGAGTCATGTAGTACTTGGGGAATAGGAGGTACATAATTAGATTTGAGCCAAGGAAAGGGAGGGACTTTCCAGTTCTCAGGCTCAAGAGCCCTTCCAGCATTAGGGAACCTTGGAAGGATTTTGTTAGATAAATACATATACAGCCTCACTTAGTGACGTACTTGTTTACCGATACCTTGGACTTACAACAGGTTCTCTGACCAGTATTCATACCTAAATAATGTATATTAGAACTGATTTCCTCTATTCTGTTTATTTCAATATACATTACACTACTGTATAAACATTTAAAAATATACCAGAAATGTTATAAATGGTGCAAAGGTGACATAAAAACAATATCAAAGATGGTTGACACAAACTCACTACCATTATAGTATGCTCCTCACTTAGCAACGAATTCGTTTAATGACATGGTCTTAGGAACGGAACTCTGTTGTTAAGTGAGGAGAGGCTGTAGTACACTGCATTATATACAAGCTTCCTTGATGTAATGTGATTTGTATTATCATAAATTACTGTTATCTGTCAGCCGATGGTAGAACCTTCATGTAATGGACTAATTGGAGGTCAGCAGGTGGCCAGTAATGACGACTCTGGTCAGTAGAGATGCGAGTGTAACAGTAACAGATAATTCTGTAGCTAAAAGATTTTGTCGATTGTTTTCAAATCATTTGATCCAACAGATTTTGTCCTACATTTCCAAAGTCCATTAAATTGAGGTCAGTTAGTATTTGTATTGAGGAGAAGAGTTTATTTCATTTTTTTATGGCAGGGTGTGCTCCTGGGGATCATTGTTAAGAACATGAGACTTAACGAGGATAAAACAAGTGTTATACACGACATACTCATTGCATTAAATAAACTTCGTTGTGGTGCAGAAGGTTCTCCTGTGTTGGAAGACATAAAGGAACCCCTGGCCATGTTCTCTATCCAGTGTAAAGTCTCTGTAGCCCACCGTGTCTTGGCAAATAACCATGGGGCTTATGAAGTCCTCCTTAAGCTTTTAAAAAATGTCCAGGTAAGGTCACCATTGTTTTCCCATATTAATATTTTTAATGCTCAATATATATTGCAGCCTTGCATAAAAAAAGCATCATTGACAAGGTTGATTAAAAATTTATATAAGAATATATTTATTGTAGTAGGTAGTAGGTTGGTAGACAGCAACCATCCAGGGGGGTACTACCATTCTGCCAAGTGAGTGTAAAACAAAAGCCTGTAATTGTTTTACATGATGGTAGGATTGCTGGTGTCTTTTGTCTGTCTCATAAATATGCAAGATTACAGGTACGTCTTGCTACTTCTTACACTTAGGTCACACTACACATACATGTACAAGCATATATATACACACCCCTCTGGGTTTTCTTCTATTTTCTTTCTAGTTCTTGTTCTTGTTTATTTCCTCTTATCTCCATGGGGAAGTGGAACAGAATTCTTCCTCCGTAAGTCATGCGTGTTGTAAGAGGTAACTAAAATGCCGGGAGCAAGGGGCTAGTAAGCCCTTCTCCTGTATATATTACTAAATGTAAAAGGAGAAGCTTTCGTTTTTCCTTTTGGGCCACCCTGCCTCGGTGGGATACGGCCAGTGTGTTGAAAGAAAGAAAGAATATTTATTGTAGAATAGAAGGTCCAGCACCATGGCTGGAGCAAATCACAAGTTTGCAAATTAGAAATTCAAATTAGGTGACATTTTGGTCTCTTCCTGACTACAATCAGATAATGAATAATGCCTCATTGATATTAACAATGGATTTATAAGGACCACCCATAAGCTGGTCCTCCAAAATTATTTTCCTTTGAGTTTACAGATGCAGCCTCGTTGAATCCACATTGAATGCACAATATCTCTATTGTGACTAGGTGCTTGCCTCACTCATCCTATAATCTTCAGGACATATACATGTAACGTGTTTTGACGTTGGCTGTCTCTTAATCTGCTGCTTCGACTTTATAGTTTAGGCCATTTTTTTTTAATTTGCACACAACTTGAAAATGTACCAGGACTGATCTAAATATCATCCAGTTTTCATTGATAATTTGTGAGCTTGTGTTGAGTACTGTACTTGAAAGAAACTGTCATTGTGGTTTTTCTTTGCCAAATAGTATAATGCCCTTCTAAATATTTGTATAGATATTAACCCGTAAACGGTCCAAACGTATATACAGTGGACCCCCACATAGCGATATTAATCCATGCGAAATTATCGTTATGCGAATGAATTTTCCCCATAAGAAATAATGGAAATCAAATTAATCCGTGCAAGACACCCAAAAGTATGAAAAAAAAAATTTACCACATGAAATATACATTTTCCTACACACAAAGAGAAGGATACATGCAGAATAGTAGAGTAGTACATGCACAATATATATTGTGCATGTACTACTCTACTAAATGAAGAATAAATGACACTTACCTTTATTGAAGATGCAGCAATGACTGATGAGACACTGTGTCCTGGGAGTGCCTTTTCCTCCTGAGTACTGTAAGTCCTGTTTGGCATTTTCTTCCAGAACAGGCCTTATCACACTGTGTATGCCACTACGATTCTTAAATCTCTCAAACCAACCTTTGCTGGCTTTAAATTCACCAATATGAGCACTAGTTCCAGGCATTTTTCCCTGTTCACCTGGGTGTTAGTCGACTGGTGTGGGTTGCATCCTGGGAGACAAGATTAAGGACCCCAATGGAAATAAGTTAGACAGTCTTCGATGACACTGACTTTTTTGGGTTATCCTGGGTGGCAAATCCTCTGGGGTTAATTGTTTCTTGGTATTCTCAATAAGCCACACCAACAACAGTGCTACAGCAGCAGCAGCAGCAGCTGACAGTGCTACAGCAGCAGCAGACGATGCTACAGCAGCAGCAGACGGTACTACAGCAGCAGCAGACGGTACTACAGCAGCAGCAGCAGCAGCTGACGGTACTACAGCAGCAGCAGCAGCAGCTGACGGTGGTACAACAGCAGCAGCAGCTGACAGTGCTACAGCAGCAGCAGACGATGCTACAGCAGCAGCAGATGATGCTACAGCAGCAGCAGACGGTACTACAGCAGCAGCAGCAGCTGACGGTGGTACAACAGCAGCAGCAGCTGACAGTGCTACAGCAGCAGCAGACGATGCTACAGCAGCAGCAGACGATGCTACAGCAGCAGCAGACGGTACTACAGCAGCAGCAGCAGCTGACAGTGGTACAGCAGCAGCAGCAGCTGACAGTGGTACAGCAGCAGCAGCAGCAGCTGACGGTGCTACAGCAGCAGCAGCAGCTGACAGTGCAGCAGCAGCAGCAGCTGATGGTAGTAGCGATGGTTGATTGGGGTTTTGTGTACAACCTGTCCAGCTCGGAGACACGCACTCCACTTTCATACTTATTAATGATCTTTTTCTTCATCTCTATAGTAATTCTCACCCTTATTGCTGTAGGGTTGGCACTAGAAGCTTTCTTGGGGCCCATGGTCACTTATTTTGCAGATAAAATCACCAAAAACACTGTAATAATACGAAATGTTCCGATTGTATGCTTGGATGTTACCGCGGAGGCTGGCTGGTAAACAATGCCACCGGCGGAACATGTGAGCGTGGCTCAGGCCTCACATAGACGCGTCTCGGACGAACAGCGTTGAGCGGGTTTTTTTAGCGGTATGCGAGGCAAAATCTTGGCGATAAAATGTAGCGGTATGCGGATTTAACGTTATGTAAGGCCAACGGTATGCGGGGGTCCACTGTACGTATACGTTTTTTCAACATTTGAAAGTATGTAAAAAAAGTAGATCTTTTTGTTTTTCTACATTTGAAAATGTGTAAAAAAACTTTGATCTACTTTTTTTTGTTATATTTGAAAATATGTAAAAAAAACTAAGATCTACTTTTGTAGCACTACACATGTGAACGTAGATCTGCTTGGACCGTTTACGGATTAAACAAGTTGCAGGGAAGCAATACTTTATCACCTCCATGTAGCCTCACATTATGCAAAACTTCATGGTACTGTACAGTGCTGTATAAAACTTTCAGAGAGATCCTGCTATGTTGGGACCTTCACTGAAAGCCATGGTTACACTAACAGAATCCAATCCTGACATTTTGACAGACGAGGGAATAGAGTTTTTGGTGCAGCTTATTGAAGAATGGAAATGTAGGTCTGATGATCCTACAATTCCTGAGTATCTGGTACAGTATAGTGGCATTCTGTTTCTATGCATTTTCATATTGGTATTCATGACTTGTAATCTCTGATTTATAGTTATTGTATGTTAGCTATATTGTATAGTTAGTCAAATCACTTATATAGTAGAATACTCTCAAAAAACAGGAAATATTTTATGTAGTTTTGCATAATATAAGATTTACTATTTTCAGGCTTGTTGGTCCATTGAGAGTTGTGTAAAACATGAAGATAACAGACAAAATCTTGTAGCAGCCGGAGCTCTCAGTTCACTGGTGTCTTTATTACATGCTAATAAGTCCAATTCCCGAGTGATAAAGACAACGTGTAAGGCTCTCCGAGCATACACTCTTGATGATGACATTAGACAAGAATTTGGGAAGGCCCATGAACATGCAAGAATTTTGGTTGAGGAGTATAGTATGATTAGTGTGTGTCTAGAGATGCTTAAGGGTAAGTTACACTTCAGATAACAGATTTCATATTACTTTTATAAGCCTCCTTCATTAATTTGTTTATAAGAAAAAATTTGCAGCTTTTCACTTTTTTCTACATTGATTTACACGACCATTCCTATGTTTATGAAGAGTAATAGTGCCACTGAACTTTACAGTATATGGTAATTAAACAAGTATGTAAAGTTGCCATTTTAGTTGAATGTGTTCTGTGGGCATTTTACTTGTGCATTGGCAAACTGCAGTAGGTCTCCCTTTTTTTACTCGTCTAGATTCACCAAGTACATTATTTGCCTGGAAGTCAAATTTATTCTTATAAAACACTATGTCATTCATGCAGTTTTGTCAGACCTCACAATCACTTGTATATTACATCATTAGGCAACTTTCTCGTTTGTATAAAACATCACAAAACCACTCGGTTATTTTTATAATACTCAAAATTGCTCACATAACATGTCATTTAGGGATCTTAATAATTATGTGTAACAATCTTATGCATAAGTCCTCCTACTCTGTCATATCTATACAAATTATATTTTGGGATATATTAAACCTCACTGTCCAAGAAATTTCTAATTTGGGTTCGTAAAATGTGGTTGATTTCTGGAAGAGGCTCACTGATTTTGATTCGTTCTTTTAGTTTATGAGAGGTAATAATGTTGTTAATATGCCAGTTATGTTAGTTGCTACATTAATTCACCTATGTCAAGGTGCAACCTTCATTCATTGTTTTGACCATTTAGTGTGGTCAACTTATACAGAAAGGTTGTAGATTACTACCCTCCAAGTTTAGTGCTTCCTCATTAATATTAGCGTAATAATTTTGCAATGATCATTTTGTTGTAAAGAATGCTTCTTTCAGACTGGCTTCACGAGAGTGATACTGCTAGTGAGCTGCTCTACCTTGTTGGTAAACTGTGTGTGAGAGCAGAGTATTGCCAAGAAGCTGTGAATCATGGGGCTCTGGCAGCCATCAATGATGTCCTACTTTCATTTCCAAATCATCCTGTAAGTTGTGCTCTTTATTGTGCTCTTAACTAGCATTACATTTGTTGGCAACAATTATTTTTTCAGCAGTGAATGCTGTTCTGTGGTACAATATTGTACTGGCAGAGAGAGTAAAAACTAGGGATGGGAGGATACTAAAAATTTTGCAGATAGTGATACCCAGCTTTTGGCTGATAGTGATATCTATACTTTTTTTATTTTTAAAATTGTAATGGCTATGTTCAATATATAAGGGAATGCTTTTTGCACAATGGGCATTAAATAGCACAGGAAGGTACTGAATAACATATTTCTCTGAGATGACAATATCATTACTTGGCCTCTTGTATTAGGTATTAGTTTTCAAAGGCACTGTTTGAAAGCAAAATACAGTATGCACTCTCACGTCAGTCAACATTAACTTACTCCATTTGTTTAAATACATATTTTCAAAGAATTCTGCATCATACCTCATAGAATATAATGCAATTTCGTTTATATTTTCTTCTCGTTCTAGGGAGTTGGGAGTGTATTTGATAAAGGGACAGATGATAGGTCTGTAATATAATAATGTATGCTAGATTCCAGGACCATTAAAATTATGCCTCATTATGTATCTTGTAAAACTTTACCTTTTTTTTTTCCCCCAGATTTTAAACAAGCAGACAATATCACTTCTGAAGGCAATGGTGGGCAATGATAAAGTAAAAGAGGAAGCAATGAAGTCGGGCATTGGCCAGCTAGTAATTGCAGCAATGATTAACCATCAGGTATGTTGCCTCTCTGTCATTCACCAGACTCAGTAGTAGTTTTTTATTGTAGTTAATGCAGTTTCACCTTATCGAGATTGTACTAATACTAAATAAAAGGCTGCAAGCACAGGTAAGAAGGAAATATTACAATTGCTGATTTTATTGTGTGTGGGGGGAGGGGGGGAAAGGGTGCAGCATGAATGGAAAGTCATTAGGCAGGAGTCTTGTAGGCATGCTTGGAGTAACCACTTAGAAAGTGCAGTACTTTATTTCTCAGATTGTTTAATACTGTAGTGTGTAATACATTGCTGATTACTTAAAATATATACAGCATGATATTTTTGTATGAACAAGGTAATATTTTGTGAAGGGATTCACGGAAACCAGTTAGCTGGGCTTGAATTCTGGAGGCGAGAAGTACAGTGCCTGCACTTTAAAGGAAGGGCTTGGGATATTTGCTGTTTAGAGTGACATCTGAACTGTCGTATCTGCGTGCCTATGGCAAGACAGAGATATGGTGACAGTGTTTCTTTTTTTGGGTTACCCCGCCTTGGTGGGAGACGACCAGCATGTTAAAAAAAAACAAAATCGTATGTTGACTATGACACCTGTTGGTCACTTCAGGTTACATTTACTTTTGTTTCACATTACAAGTGTTTTTATTCTATGTCTACAGAATACTTTTAAGTAACATCTAATTTAACTCTGTTTACAGAATTTTAAATTATATTTGTGTTAATTCAATCTCTACAGTCCATACCAAGTGTGTGTGAAGAAGGGTGTGGTGCTCTCTCCATGTTGTCCTTACGAGTCCCTGCTCATGCCAAGCAACTCGTTCAGGCAGGAGGTGGACAAGCTGTAATACAAGCCATGAAAACCCACCCTCAGAATAAACAAGTACAGGTAAGGTATTATTGATGTTGTAAGTTATTTAAAGACTGAATTAACATTGAAAGGCATTTTAGGCTCTTAAACACAATGCTTTTGAGCAATGTCAGTGCTTTATAACCATTTATTATATGAGATGAAGTAAGGGATTGTATAAAAGTGGCAGTTTATTAATAAATTGTGAACTGCATATAATGTACATAAATATAATTATGTTGCATACATTAAAACAAGTGTATGCCATGAAAAAAAATTAGGTATTGAACTATGCACTGCTTAGCCTGAAGATACAGGGTTAATGGTATAATATTTACTTAAAATGACTGGAAATGACTGAGGCTTAGTATTTCTCCCACATAAGTAGGTAGTAGGTTGGTAGACAGCAACCACCCAGGGAAGTACTACCGTCCTGCCAGATGACTGCGAAACAGAAACCTGTAACTGTTTTGCATGATGGTAGGATTGCTGGTTTCTTTTTCTGTCTCATAAACACGCTAGATAACAGGGATATCTTGCTACTCCTACTTACACTTTGGTCACACTTCACAGACACACACATGCATATATATATACATACATCTAGGTTTTTCTCCTTTTTCTAAATAGCTCTTGTTCCTCTTTATTTCTTCTATTGTCCATGGGGAAGTGGAAAAGAATCTTTCCTCCGTAAGCCATGCGTGTCGTATGAGGCGACTAAAATGCCGGGAGCAATGGGCTAGTAACCCCTTCTCCTGTAGACATTTACTAAAAAAGAAAAGAAGAAAAACTTTATAAAACTGGGATGCTTAAATGTGCGTGGATGTAGTGCGGATGACAAGAAACAGATGATTGCTGATGTTATGAATGAAAAGAAGTTGGATGTCCTGGCCCTAAGCAAAACAAAGCTGAAGGGGGTAGGGGAGTTTCGGTGGGGGGAAATAAATGGATTAAATCTGGAGTATCTGAGAGAGTTAGAGCAAAGGAAGGGATAGCAGTAATGTTGAATGATCAGTTATGGAAGGAGAAAAGAGAATATGAATGTGTAAATTCAAGAATTATGTGGATTAAAGTAAAGGTTGGATGCGAGAAGTGGGTCATAATAAGCGTGTATGCACCTGGAGAAGAGAGGAATGCAGAGGAGAGAGAGAGATTTTGGGAGATGTTAAGTGAATGTATAGGAGCCTTTGAACCAAGTGAGAGAGTAATTGTGGTAGGGGACCTGAATGCTAAAGTAGGAGAAACTTTTAGAGAGGGTGTGGTAGGTAAGTTTGGGGTGCCAGGTGTAAATGATAATGGGAGCCCTTTGATTGAACTTTGTATAGAAAGGGGTTTAGTTATAGGTAATACATATTTTAAGAAAAGAGGATAAATAAGTATACAAGATATGATGTAGGGCGAAATGACAGTAGTTTGTTGGATTATGTATTGGTAGATAAAAGACTGTTGAGTAGACTTCAGGATGTACATGTTTATAGAGGGGCCACAGATATATCAGATCACTTTCTAGTTGTAGCTACACTGAGAGTAAAAGGTAGATGGGATACAAGGAGAATAGAAACATCAGGAAGAGAGAGGTGAAGGTTTATAAACTAAAAGAGGAGGAAGTTAGGGTAAGATATAAACAGCTATTGGAGGATAGATGGGCTAATGAGAGCATAGGCAATGGGGTCGAAGAGGTATGGGGTAGGTTTAAAAATGTAGTGTTAGAGTGTTCAGCAGAAGTTTGTGGTTACAGGAAAGTGGGTGCGGGAGGGAAGAGGAGCGATTGGTGGAATGATGATGTGAAGAGAGTAGTAAGGGAGAAAAAGTTAGCATATGAGAAGTTTTTACAAAGTAGAAGTGATGCAAGGAGGGAAGAGTATATGGAGAAAAAGAGAGAGGTTAAGAGAGTGGTGAAGCAATGTAAAAAGAGAGCAAATGAGAGAGTGGGTGAGATGTTATCAACAAATTTTGTTGAAAATAAGAAAAAGTTTTGGAGTGAGAAATTTAACAAGTTAAGAAAGCCTAGAGAAAAAAATGGATTTGTCAGTTAAAAATAGGAGAGGAGAGTTATTAAATGGAGAGTTAGAGGTATTGGGAAGATGGAGGGAATATTTTGAGGAATTGTTAAATGTTGATGAAGATAGGGAAGCTGTGATTTCGTGTATAGGGCAAGGAGGAACAACATCTCGTAGGAGTGAGGAAGAGCCAGTTGTGAGTGTGGGGGAAGTTCGTGAGGCAGTAGGTAAAATGAAAGGGGGTAAGGCAGCCGGGATTGATGGGATAAAGATAGAAATGTTAAGAGCAGGTGGGGATATAGTTTTGGAGTGGTTGGTGCAATTATTTAATAAATGTATGGAAGAGGGTAAGGTACCTAGGGATTGGCAGAGAGCATGCATAGTTCCTTTGTATAAAGGCAAAGGGGATAAAAGAGAGTGCAAAAATTATAGCAGGATAAGTCTGTTGAGTATACCTGGCAAAGTGTATGGTAGAGTTATTATTGAAAGAATTAAGAGTAAGACGGAGAATAGGATAGCAGATGAACAAGGAGGCTTTAGGAATGGTAGGGGGTGTGTGGACCAGGTGTTTACAGTGAAACATATAAGTGAACAGTATTTAGATAAGGCTAAAGAGGTCTTTGTGGCATTTATGGATTTGGAAAAGGCGTATGACAGGGTGGATAGGGGGGCAATGTGGCAGATGTTGCAGGTGTATGGTGTAGGAGGTAGGTTACTGAAAGCAGTGAAGAGTTTTTACGAGGATAGTGAGGCTCAAGTTAGAGTATGTAGGAAAGAGGGAAATTATTTCCCAGTAAAAGTAGGCCTTAGACAAGGATGTGTGATGTCACCGTGGTTGTTTAATATATTTATAGATGGGGTTGTAAGAGAAGTAAATGTGAGGGTCTTGGCAAGAGGCGTGGAGTTAAAAGATAAAGAATCACACATAAAGTGGGAGTTGTCACAGTTGCTCTTTGCTGATGACACTGTGCTCTTGGGAGATTCTGAAGAGAAGTTGCAGAGATTGGTGGATGAATTTGGTAGGGGGTGTAAAAGAAGAAAATTGAAAGTGAATACAGGAAAGAGTAAGGTTATGAGGATAACAAAAAGATTAGGTGATGAAAGATTGGATATCAGATTGGAGGGAGAGAGTATGGAGGAGGTGAATGTATTCAGATATTTGGGAGTGGACGTGTCAGCGGATGGGTCTATGAAAGATGAGGTGAATCATAGAATTGATGAGGGGAAAAGGGTGAGTGGTGCACTTAGGAGTCTGTGGAGACAAAGAACTTTGTCCTTGGAGGCAAAGAGGGGAATGTATGAGAGTATAGTTTTACCAACGCTCTTATATGGGTGTGAAGCATGGGTGGACGAATGTTGCAGCGAGGAGAAGGCTGGAGGCAGTGGAGATGTCATGTCTGAGAACAATGTGTGGTGTGAATATAATGCAGAGAATTCGTAGTTTGGAAGTTAGGAGGAGGTGCGGGATTACCAAAACTGTTGTCCAGAGGGCTGAGGAAGGGTTGTTGAGGTGGTTCGGACATGTGGAGAGAATGGAGCGAAACAGAATAACTTCAAGAGTGTATCAGTCTGTAGTGGAAGGAAGGCGGGGGTAGGGGTCGGCCTAGGAAAGGTTGGAGGGAGGGGGTAAAGGAGGTTTTGTGTGCGAGGGGCTTGGACTTCCAGCAGGCATGCGTGAGCGTGTTTGATAGGAGTGAATGGAGACAAATGGTTTTTAATACTTGACGTGCTGTTGGAGTGTGAGCAAAGTAACATTTATGAAGGGGTTCAGGGAAACCGGCAGGCCGGACTTGAGTCCTGGAGATGGGAAGTACAGTGCCTGCACTCCGAAGGAGGGGTGTTAATGTTGCAGTTTAAAAACTGTAGTGTAAAGCACCCTTCTGGCAAGACAGTGATGGAGTGAATGATGGTGAAAGTTTTTCTTTTTCGGGCCACCCTGCCTTGGTGGGAATCGGCCAGTGTGATGATAAAAAAAAAATAAAAAAAAAAGTTCAGCATGGAAGACTTTACTGACACTTTCATATCAGTTAGTTTTGTGAACTTTTCACAGTGTTACGGGTGAATCTGTTCTGTACTCCTTGTTTATTTTCTGTATGTTCATGAGTAATTTTATTGTTAACACAGTATTGAATGATATTTGTCTTGATCAGTTTTATGGGGGCAGACTACAGTGTACAGTAAGTATATGTCATATATTTATGGGATTCAAGAAAAATATGTCAGGTTTTAATTTGTATTAATTGTATGTATTTTTGAGGTCAAATTTTATTATTTTCTTTTTACAGAAATTGGGTTGCATGGCTATACGAAACATGGCTTCTCGTACACAGGAGAACCGACAGCTCTTTGTGGAGTATGGGGCAGAGGAGGTGATCCAGACTGCACTTAAAAATCATGGTGATGCAGTGAAAGATATGGCCAAGGCAGCTCTTAGGGATTTGGCCCTTAAAGTAGAACTTGTGGAGCAGTGGAGGGGAACTGGCCATGAAATTAGCCGATAGAATACTCACTAATGTGACACTTTACATAACGTATTGTTGGTAATTCTACCAACATTATTACATGATAAATCTTGGAGCTGGGGTATTGCTAACTTGTTAAAAATTTGGATTTATTGTTTGTTACAAATGCACAGAAGAGGCATAACCACAGTTACAAATACAATACTATATAGCAGTTTTTTACACTACTGCAACAATAGGTTCATTTGTTAATAATGACTAATCTTTTTACTTAAAATTTTTGATGAACTGGGATACTCATTTCAGGGCTTTAATAGAACTCTGGTAATGTTCAAAATTTACATGTGGCTTTCTTAAGCTGTAGGAAATTTTTGATCAATTTAATATAACTTACTCAAGCAAAATATATAAAATTGAGGAGCTAGTAGGAAAATTTAAGTACTGGTAAATCAAAGAATGAAGCTTATGTATTTTAGTCATCATACTGTATTTCCAGCAAAATTTTTTTAACATTTGTTCATTATAATTTTGCTGCTTCCATGGGGGTGCAATATTGTACATATTGTGGCCACAATATGTACAATATTGTGACTTCGTGGAAGCAGCAAAATTATAATGCACAAATGTTAAAAAAATTTATAACACTTCAAATTGATTGTACTCTCTAGGCTGGAATATTGCTGTACACAAATGGCCCCTTTCAAGGCAGGAGAAATTGCAGACCTTCAGAATATACAGAAAACTTTCACTGCACGTATAAGTACCATAAAGCACCTAAATTACTAGGAACTGTTGAAGTCTCTTGACCTGTACTCCTTGGAATGCAGGTGAGAATTTTTTTTTTTTTTTTTAACAAGTCTGCCGTCTCCCACCGAGGCAGGGTGACCCAAAAAGAAAGAAAATCCCAAAAAAGAAAATACTTTCATCATCATTCAACACTTTCACCTCACTCACACATAATCACTGTTTTTGCAGAGGTGCTCAGAACACAACAGTTTAGAAGCATATACGTATAAAGATACACAACATATCCCTCCAAACTGCTAATATCCCAAACCCCTCCTTTAGAGTGCAGGCATTGTACAAGTACAATGCCTGTGAGAAAGATATATGATAATACTTTTTGTTTTTGTTTTGTATTTAACATGTCGGACGTTTTTCACCGAGGCAGGGTGACCCAAAAAGAAAGAAAAAACTTTCATCATCATCATTCAACACTTTCAATATCACTGTCTTTGCAGAGGCGTTCGTATGACAGTTTAGATGTTACTCCAAACAGCCAATATCCCAAACCCCTCCTTTAAAGTGCAGGCACTATTTCCCACCTCCAGGACTCAAGCCCGGCTAACCAGATAACATAATACAGTGGACCCCGGTTTACGATATTATTTCATTCCAGACGTATGTTCAGGTGCCATTACTGAACGAATTTGTTCCCATAAGGAATATTGTGAATTAGATTAGTCCATTTCAGACCCCCAAACATACACGTACCAACGCGCTTACTTAAACACACACAATTGGTCGCATTGGGAGCTGATCGTAAACCGGGGGCCACTGTATATACTTGGAAAATCCTAGAGGGACTAGTCCCAAATCTGCACACAGAAAACACTCTCTACAAAAGCAAAAGACATGGCATGCATTGCAACAACCCCTCAATGAAAAGCAGGGGAACCATGAGTATGTTAAGAGACAACACAATAAGTGTCAGGGGCTGAAGATTGTCAAACTGCCTCCCAGTATACACAAGACACATAGACCCCTGGCTGTCTTGAAGAAGGAGCTGGACAGAAGCCTAAAGTCAGTACTTGACAAGCCGGGCTGTGGTTTGTACATCGGTTTGCATGTGACCAGCAGTAACAGCCTGGTTGATCAGGCCCTGATCCACCACAAGGCCTGGTTGTGGACCAGGCCATGGGAGCATTGATCCTCAGAATTCCCTCCAGGTATTATACTTTAGGTATACATTTAGGCATATAAATATATCACCACAGAATATAAATGCATTATCAAAACGTGCAAAATGTGTCTGCATTATCTTAAAAAATAAGTGAAATACAAACAACTATGGTGCTCTTAGCTTAATAAACATGAAAGAGGGCAACGCTCTATAACATAGTACAGGTACATAGAAATATGTTAACTGGGTTTTCTACTTTTAAGGCGATCTCTTTTACATGTATACTAGTATTAACTGTGTGGTTTTCTCTCGTATTTATTTCATTTTTTTATAAAGTGGGGCTTTTGCTGAGCACCAGCTTTTATATTTTATATAGATGTATTACTGGACTCAGTAATTCCAGGTTTCCCCATATAATTATGCATTTAAAATATTTGTGTGTTTACACATAAGGTTTTTTACTTTCAAGTCAGGCAATTCTAGAAATTTTTTTTTTTTTACTCGATAGCCTTTTCATATCAAAAGTGGCACAGTGATCTTATACATGTAAAAAAAAAAAAAAACATTTTTTTTTTTTTTTAATTTTGGTATGCAGAAGAAAAATATATTGGAAGGTACTGTGATGCATACTATAAAAGCTAAAAAGAAATGATTACTTATAAGACAACACTAAAAAATTCTCCATTTTGTGCAGGTTTGTTGTATTCTAATGCTTATAAAGAGCAGCTAATGCTGAGTAATCTGTAGTGTTTTATTACATTCCATTTTTGTGTTTCTTAACAGAGTAAAATTTCAATCAGTACTTTTTCTTTATTTCTCACTCTGGGTGCTTTTAATTAGCTTTCAACATATCCATAACATTCAAGCAGTTATTACTAAGTGATCAGTACATGAAGGCAGCACAACATACAAACAGGTATTACTAAGTGATCAGTACATGAAGGCAACACAACATACAAGCAGGTATTACTAAGTGATCAGTACATGAAGGCAGCACAACATACAAGCAGGTATTACTAAGTGATCAGTACATGAAGGCAACACAGCATACAATCAGGTATTACTAAATGATCAGTATGTGAAGACAACAGACCTCCCCCAGCCAGCCACACATACACACTCATGTAACACCTATTGTAATCTCGGGAACTTTTTTTTCTTCTAATACGTAGTGATACAGAATGAATCTCAAAGTAAATCCCATGAAATTCGTGAAGGGCTCTTTATCTAATGAACTGGGCTTATCCTCCCAGTATTTGAATCAATCCCAATGCCTCCCATTCCCTAAGTGCTATATGACTACAGGTTTAGCTCTTTTCCCTGAATAAAAATCAAATCTAGAAATAAAATAGTATGGGAAGCAATAAATGTTTGGTCCATTTTCAAGGAATATTACTCTATTGTGACAAAGGGTTCTTGGTCTAAGTAACTCCCCTTTCTCAGATCAAACCTGATTTCTTTCCATTTCGCAAGTGCTGAGAGTTATAGATTTACCTCTCCCCTATGAATATAATATTGTACTGTAATTTACATTGAAAAATACAGTACATACATATATAACTAAGGCTGTTATTAACAGTTTGAAGTAAAATATTGTACAACACATTGATTTAAATACCCTTACAAATACATAAATACTGGTGACAAACACTGCACCCAAGAGTCAAATATGACATACAGTATACTGTAATAACCCACTTTTATACAAGTAGTTAATGAATTATTATTATTATAATCAAAAAGTAGCACTAAGCCACTAGGGCTATACAACAGTTAATGAATTAGGAAGGCAGTAACAGTATTGCTACTACAGACTCTACAAATGATATTGAGTTGCATGTAACTCAGTTATTTGTTGGGTCTATATATAGTAGTCCCCCCTCAAAGGAGGTTCCTTGACACTGGTGAGGGGCTCTTGATTTAGGGAATTGGATCTGTGCTCCAGTTCCCTTCCATCCCCCCCCATCACATGCGCTGTATAATCCTATGGGTTTAGAGCTCAGCCCATGATTATAATAACAATACATATACATAGTAGATGTACTAAGGAATACATATTTCCTCACATTCCACAAGATACATTGCACCACATACTTTATGCAAGACATCTTCCTGTACCACCTGTTAAAACAAATCAAGAAACAGTTGCAAGTGAACAGTATCAGTATCTAGTGGCAAGGCAACAGCTTTTATCTAAGTCCCATCAAAATTTTGGGGGATGGAATGAGAGCAATGCTTCATTCCCAAAACCCAACCCCTTAGTGCCACATTTAACCGAGGAGATTAAAAAGACTTGAGTTAAGAAGTGAACTTCACTTTAAAAATCTTAGTGATTCTATTTAGTTGTCCTTGATTTTCATCACCATTGGCAAGATAGCCACTGCCTTTTTCATGGAATTTAATTTGTGCTTCAAACTCTGTAGTGAGTGCCTACACCTTACTGCCCTGGGCGCTCATAACAGTACGATGATATTTCTGCAGAATTATTACTTCTAAGTTCTATACCTGCTGCCTGAAATTGGTAATCAAATCACATGAAAACATGACCAAATATTAAATAAAAAAAAAGCAAAATTTTGTTTTCTTGCCCTTTATCCTAAATTTAGTTTTCTTTATCCTACATTACTAAAAATTGCTTTGCAATTTGGCAGTGGCCCAACAATATTTGTAGAGCCATTATATGCTTATATTTTGAACATGTTTAAACAGTTATCTTGCATTAAAATTGTTTTATTCACAAATACTGTATGAAGATTTGATAAATTAATACAGTACACTGACCATTGGTGATTATATCAGGTGCTCTATTACCCCTATGAGTTTAGTGCTTCCTCTTGAATAAAATAATTATGGGTTATGGATGCTGGTAAAATGCTCTTGATTCAAGGATTTGGAGTTAATCATCCTTGCTTTCAAGGGGTGGCTTGGTGTTAATCAAGGGCTCTTGATCCATATAATTTCAGCTACTCAAGGCTTTGAGAGGCCTTCATGTTGGTGAGGGTCTCTTGATCCAAGGAATTGGAACCACCCTTCTCTTGGATCAAATCTGATGCCTCCACTTCCCCAGGTGCTATGCAACTCTTAACAATAATAATATCTTTATTTACTACAAGTACATGTACAAAATACAGACCATAGCTGACATCAATGACATACTACTATATAGAAAGCCCCTTGTTATGCTGAGCATTTCGGGCAAATTAGGTCAGTATCCCAGGATGCGACCCACACCATATCATAAAAATCTTTGAAAGGGTCCTAAGAAGCAAGATCACCACCCATCTAGAAACCCATCAGTTACACAACCCAGGGCAACATGGGTTTAGAACAGGTCACTCCTGTCTGTCTCAACTATTGGATCACTACGACAAGGTCCTAAATGCACTAGAAGACAAAAAGAATGCAGATGTAATATATACAGACTTTGCAAAAGCCTTCGACAAGTGTGACCATGGCGTAATAGCGCACAAAATGCGTGCTAAAGGAATAACAGGAAAAGTCGGTCGATGGATCTATAATTTCCTCACTAACAGAAACACAGAGAGTAGTCGTCAACAGAGTAAAGTCCGAGGCAGCTACGGTGAAAAGCTCTGTTCCACAAGGCACAGTACTTGCTCCCATCTTGTTCCTCATCCTCATATCCGACATAGACAAGGATATCAGCCACAGCACCGTGTCTTCCTTTGCAGATGACACCCGAATCTGCATGACAGTGTCTTCCATTGCAGACACTGCAAAGCTCCAGGCAGACATCAACCAAATCTTTCAGTGGGCTGCAGAAAACAATATGAAGTTCAACGATGAGAAATTTCAATTACTCAGATATGGTAAACATGAGGAAATTAAATCTTCATCAGAGTACAAAACAAATTCTGGCCACAAAATAGAGCGAAACACCAACGTCAAGACCCGGGAGTGATCATGTCGGAGGATCTCACCTTCAAGGACCATAACATTGTATCAATCGCATCTGCTAGAAAAATGACAGGATGGATAATGAGAACCTTCAAAACTAGGGAGGCCAAGCCATGATGACACTCTTCAGGTCACTTGTTCTATCTAGGCTGGAATATTGCTGCACACTAACAGCACCTTTCAAGGCAGGTGAAATTGCCGACTAGAAAATGTACAGAGAACTTTCACGGCGCGCATAACGGAGATAAAACACCTCAATTATTGGGAGCGCTTGAGGTTCCTAAACCTGTATTCCCTGGAACGCAGGAGGGAGAGATACATGATTATATACACCTGGAAAATCCTAGAGGAACTAGTACCGAACTTGCACACGAAAATCACTCACTACGAAAGCAAAGACTTGGCAGACGATGCACCATCCCCCCAATGAAAAGCAGGGGTGTCACTAGCACGTTAAGAGACCATACAATAAGTGTCAGGGGCCCGAGACTGTTCAACTGCCTCCCAGCACACATAAGGGGGATTACCAACAGACCCCTGGCAGTCTTCAAGCTGGCACTGGACAAGCACCTAAAGTCAGTTCCGGATCAGCCGGGCTGTGGCTCGTACGTTGGTTTGCGTGCAGCCAGCAGCAACAGCCTGGTAGATCAGGCTCTGATCCACCAGGAGGCCTGGTCACAGACCGGGCCGCGGGGGCGTTGACCCCCGGAACTCTCTCCAGGTAAACTCCAGGTAAACACCAGTCGACTAACACCCAGGTACCCATTTTATTGATGGGTGAACATAGACAACAGGTGTAAAGAAATACGCCCAATGTTTTTACCCTGGCTGGGAATCGAACCCAGACTCCTGCCGTGTGAAGTGAGAGCTTGAGCCACCAGAGCCCCTTAAGGGTTTAGTGCTTCCCGATGAACAACAATAATAACAAAAATAATGCAACTAATTGAGTAAGAAATATAGACAAACAAGACATTAGCTGCCAACATCCCTGGGAAGTACAGTAAATACTGTGTATATATATAGTGTAGTGCCTCACGTAGTGTGTGGCTCGTGTGTAGTGTGTGGGTGACCCCGTGCATGGCCACTGGTGGCCTCGTGGCCAGGGCCACGTCACGTGCTGGCCACCACACAAAATACCCAGACTCAATATTTTGAGACTGGGTATTTTGCCTCAAGAGGGCTCGTGATCCAAAGAATTGGATTTCCCCACCCTTGAACGTGATTGCCTCTCATTCCCCAGGCACTGTATGGCTCCTATTAGTTTAGTTCATCATTAAAATACTACAAATCAAAAGTACTCGCGCTCTTCAACGAGTGTTTATCACTTGTGATGACTGGGATGACATAAATCTAGGACGGAGAGAAGGAAGGGTAGATGCTGTTTCAGAAAGGGTTGGACGGGGTAAGAGGTTTTGAGTGCTAGGGCTTGGACATCCAACATGCTTTTGTGAGCGTGTTAGACAGGAATGGAGTCAAGTAGTTTTTCTGGTTTGACATGCTGTTAGCGAGTTAGCAAAGTAATATTTATAAAAGATTTAGGGAAACTGGGCAGCCAAACTAAATTCATGGAGGTAAGTACAGTGCCTGCACTGAATGACGGGGTGAGGATGTTACAGTTGAGATAGTCATCTGACCTGTGATGTTAGCAGATTTCTGGGAAGACAGTGAATGTATGACATTCACAATGTTTCTATTTCGCGTCACCCTAGCTCGGTAAGAGGCAACCGGTGTGTTACAAAATTACGTAGTAAACAGTGACACAGAGAGAGAGAGAGATGGAAGTTAATGCATAAAAATATCCAAATTTATTCTGTAAAATGGCTGA